TTATAAAATTATTCAGCCGTTCAAAGTCCGTTTTGCGAAAACATAGGACTTTATTGGCTGGACGATCAGAAATATTCTGTACGTCACACCCAATATCAAGAGTCACATCGAAAGTTGGATGATAAGGATCTTCGGGCTGCGTCAGAGGCGCCACCCTTGCTAAACTGACTCTCGCAGGATCAGAGACGAAGCAAAGATCGAGCAAGCGCTGTAAGGAATTTCGAACATGGTTGACTTGAGACAGCGAAATGTCAAACAAGCCAGCGATAAAGTCATGTTGTGTAGGTGTATGGAGAGTATTGGTGGAATTATTTGAGCACCAAATAGCACCAGGGATATTAAAATCTCCTAGAACTACCAACTGGTCTCTATCCAAAAGTCTACTGGAAGCCATCTGAATAGCGGAAAGGTGATTCCAATAAATAGGAAGTTCCGACAGTGGAGGTATGTAGGAACAGGTAATAAAAATGGAGCTACCTTTGATAGATAGCTTCACACAGAGGAATTCAACATCGTTACATTCCTCGAAGGTTAATAATTCTGACGTGAGTGAGGAGTCCACCGCTATTAGAACTCCACCCCCGCGTCTGACAGGGCGATCTAGCCGATATACCGTGAACACAGCTGGAAAAACTTCGGAGCTCAGAATCTCCGGCTTTAACCAGGTTTCTGTGAGCACAATAACCTGAGATACAAACGAAAGGCTATCAGAATACAAGTTAGGAAGCTTACTACGTAAGCCTCTTGCATTCTGATAGGAAATACCTAGGGAGTGGGTTAGTTTTTTGGATCGGGATTGGAAGACGTAGAAGGCGCAGTGGTATGATCAGGCCTGGGTAGAGTTATTCCTACAGGCCGCTTTTTCTTTTTCTTCGCCTCGAACTCCTTAACAACGATGTACTCTGGCCAGAAGTTGGGAGAGCAAATAGTGTTAAAGAGCTCGTTAGGGACATTTATCTTGAAAGATGAAATGTCCCTTGCGTAAGAAAATTTGAATTTTCCACCTTTATCTTAATTTTTTCGGCTCTGGTTTTGCCTTGTATAAAGGCGAGAACATCTTCCGATGTTTGGTCAGGGGAGAGCCGCGAGACAAAAATATGTCTCGTTGGTGGAACAGCTATAAGGGCTTTTGGCAAGGCAGATTGGTTATCCGCCGTGCCATTGTCGGCCGGTATTCCGGGCCTAACACCCTGGGAAGATATATTTATGTGAACGGGACTTTGAGGGGTCAATATTTGCGACCCCCCAGGCGATAGAACAGAAATCAACGGCGGTACGGGCACTCCCGCTGCACATTCGGATACCGAATCTTTTCTAGCGCTCGATCTCAGCACTCTTGGAATTAATGCTGAGGTCGAGGGCTGTGCCGAGGGAGGCTGCTGCTGAGAGCCCGTTGCAGGTAGTTGGGGTCCGTCTACATGCTGCCCACCAGTAGCAGTTTTTTTGCGCCTAGGAGACTCATTTAATAGCGTAAGGCTATTAAATTGGGTGTCCAGCGCCATGGTATTGCACCTTCAGTCGGAAGCTTAAAAGATAGCGAAGGAGTCATTTCCGACCCTATAAATCATATATATTCTTGATCAGCATCAACAGCTAAGTCGATCTAGGCATGTCTTGAAGAAATCGAAATTTTTAAAAATATTTCCATTTTTGCAAAAAATGATAAGGGTTACATCATTAAAATTGCCAAAAATTGGCCAAAAATTCAATTTTTGTTAACGGGATAAAAACTAGCTCGGGACAGCTTTCAGATTTAAAATTAACGCATTTTTGGCTTAGTTATGAGTTTTTTTCAATTTGATTTTTAGGAAAAATTGGCATAAAAATATAATAAATACCTACTCAAAGAATGGGATTATAATTTCAGTCGTTTCCATTTACAAACATTTGTCTTTGAGTATGCAGATTTGTTAACGGGATAAAAACTAGCTCGGGACAGCTTTCCGATTTAAAATTAACGCATTTTTGGCATTGTTATGAATTTTTTAAAATTTGATTTTTAGGAAAAATTTGCGTTAAAATTGATAAAATATGGTATTGCACCTTCAGTCGGAAGCTTAAAAGATAGCGAAGGAGTCATTTCCGACCCTATAAATCATATATATTCTTGATCAGCATCAACAGCTGAGTCGATCTAGGCATATCTTGAAGAAATCGAAATTTTTAAAAATATTTCCATTTTTGCAAAAAATGATAAGGGGTTACATCATTAAAATTGCCAAAAATTGGCAAAAAATTCAATTTTCTAAAATTTTAAATTGAGTATGCAGATTTATTAATCTACTAAAAACTAGCATAGGAAAGGTTTCCGAATTTAAATTAATGCATTTTTGGCTTAGTTATGAGTTTTTTTCAGTTTGGTTTTTAGGAAAAATTGGCATAAAAATATAATAAATACCTACTCAAAGAATGGGATTATAACTTCAGTCGTTTCCATTTACAAACATTTTTCTTTGAGTATGCAGATTTGTTAGCGGGATAAAAACTAGCTCGGGACAGCTTTCCGATTTAAAATTAACGCATTTTTGGCATTGTTATGAATTTTTTAAAATTTGATTTTTAGGAAAAATTTGCGTTAAAATTGATAAAATATTGTATTGCACCTTCAGTCGGAAGCTTAAAAGATAGCGAAGGAGTCATTTACGACCCTATAAATCATATATATTCTTGATCAGCATCAACAGCTGAGTCGATCTTGAAGAAATCGAAGTTTTTAAAAATATTTCCATTTTTGCAAAAAATTATAAGGAAAATTGCCAAAAATTGGCAAAAAATTCAATTTTCTAAAATTTTAAATTGCGTATGCAGATTTATTAATCTACTAAAAACTAGCATAGGAAAGCTTTCCGAATTTAAATTAATGCATTTTTGGCTTAGTTATGAGTTTTTTTTCAGTTTGGTTTTTAGGAAAAATTGGCATAAAAATATAATAAATACCTACTCAAAGAATGGGATTATAATTTCAGTCGTTTCCATTTACAAACATTTTTCTTTGAGTATGCAGATTTGTTAGCGGGATAAAAACTAGCTCGGGACAGCTTTCCGATTTAAAATTAACGCATTTTTGGCTTAGTTATGAGTTTTTTCAATTTGGTTTTTAGGAATAATTGGCATAAAAATATAATAAATACCTACTCAAAGAATGGGATTATAATTTCAGTAATTTTAATTCGCAAAAATGTTACACTGAGTATGCAGATTTGGTAACGGGTTAAAAGTAAGCTCGGGACAGCTTTCCGATTTAAAATTAACGCATTTTTGGCTTAGTTATGAGTTTTTTCAATTTGGTTTTTAGGAAAAATTGGCATAAAAATATAATAAATACCTACTCAAAGAATGGGATTATAATTTCAGTCATTTCCATTTACAAACATTTTTTTGAGTCGGCAGATTTGTTAACGGGATAAAAACTAGCTCGGCACCTTTCCGATTTAAAATTAACGCATTTTTGGCCTTGTTATGAATTTTTTAAAAGTTGATTTTTTGGAAAAATTGGCGTAAAAATTTATAAAATATGGTATGTTAATTTTAGTCAGAAGCTTATAAAAAACTAGCAAAAAATATAGTTACATCATTAAACTTTGCAAAAATTGGCCAAAAATTCACATTTTGAATTGAGTATGCACTTTTATGAACCTGCTAAAAATGAACATACGAGCGCTTTCCGAATTGAAATTAAGGGGTTTTTGGCTTAGTTATGAGTTAGTTACTTTTCGCTTTGTCGTAAAATGTTCATATAAAAATATAGTTGAAATCGATTATAAAATTGTATTTTACCTCCAGTCGGAAGCTTAAAGGAAATTGATGGAGTCATTTCCGACCCTAGAAGCTTTGATCGGTTTCCTATTCGATCTATAACTAATAACAATATACAAGGTATTTAAACTTAAATTTGTTCTTTATAACAATGTACATGTAGCATTAAAGAAATAGAATATATAATTGACAGCTTCTCTGTGTCTTTGCTTAAGAAATTGAACTCAGTTATACATCAATCGTTTTTTAGGTACATTTTATTATGTTTACTCACTGTGCTCCCCTATACTTACCTTATTTTTAGTAATATTTATAAATTCTCTGGAGAGGAGAGAAGAGAGGAGAGGAGACGGGATCCAGCTGCGTCTAACGGCAGTCAAAGGCGTCCAGTGGGCGTTAAGGCGGATCTGAGCTGCAATTCTTTGCTTGGGGACGAGGACGGGGGGAGGTGCTCATTACTTAACTTCATAGCGGCCTTACCTGCATAGAGATCTAGTTTTTCGCCACACACACATCTTTTTCTATATTTATAGCACTTGCAAGTGCGAGTGTGCGGCGATCAAGGCGAACCGCCCCTGCTCCAGATAGCGGCATTCGAGGCACTCTCGATTTCAGATTTCTGCGACCTGGGACCAGTTTCCGAGCTGGCAACAAAGTTGTCCAGCTGCCGCAAGAGATCTCTCGGTTTCTGGAAAGGCTTTGTCAACGCCCCTGCCTGGGCCACAGCCCCGGAATTGATTAATTACTTTGGCATCGCTTAATCGGCCATCGATCGAGATTGTTTGCCAGGCTCTCAACCGTTTCTGGTACACATTTTCTAACCAGGTCTCGATGAGGTGGGAGTGCTGGGCTTCTCCCCTACCAAGGGGTTAAAAGGGTATTTACAAACCTTTAATTACCAACCTTTAATTGTTGTTAAGTAATACCTATATTTAGAATCAAAGGGTGTGCCGATCTTTTGTGGTTTTATATTTATTTTAATTGCTAGAGAATTAGCCAACTTACGAGAAAACGAAACAGGTTTCTGGTGCATTGGTAGAACATGCTTTTAATTGTTCAAATTATTGGTTATTATTAGATTCCATTAGGTATTTATTGAAGTAAAGATTCTACGGAAAAACATTTAATAAAATTATTGTTTTGTATTTAACTGCTATGTACCCTTATTTAAGAAACACAAAGAGCTTAAATATATATAATTTAACTTCCCTTTCCCTAGAATAAATCTCGAAAACTTTTTCATATTTTGTTATAATAACATTTTTGTTTTTATTCAAAAAGAAACAAATTTCCAGATGACAACAGAGGGGGGTGGCGGATAAATATAAAGACCAGAGAGTATACAGCGGAAACATATAGACTGGATAGGATTGACTTAGATTGCTGAACAATGGAGATCCCTAGATCAGGATCTCACTAACTCAGGAGGGATAAATCCAAAGAATATGGGGGCCAGGACTTGACCTCTTAAAGAGTCGTGCTTGCGAGTGGTGTGGCGGTCAAGATCGGTATTCCATTGGTGCTTCCAGGTCTTTACCAGGTGCCTGGTGCTGGCTCCAGGTTGACAGAGGCGGCGGACTGAACGTGTCCGGGCAGAGGAGCCACGTGGACGGCACCGCGGGTCTTGGCCACATAGCTAGCCTCGGGAGCAGCCACAGCGACCACGGCAGGAGCATGGGCAGCCACCACAGCGGGAGCTGGAGCAGCAATCACCGCAGGAGCAGACTGGATGAGGACGGGACCGGCAGGGGACAGGGCCACGGGAACAGCAGCGGGCACGGCGGAGGCCTGGATGGCCACCGAACCGGCGACGGCGGGTGCTCCAAGCACCACAGCTCCGCCATGGACGGAGGTGAGCAGGGGAACCACCGAACTGTTGACACCCCAGGCGAAAGCGAACAGGACTACGACGACGGCGAACTGTGAATGAAATAGAATGATAAATATAATGTATTATTTTTTAAATATATATAATAACTTTGGTTTTATGTATCTCTTTAATTAATTATATTTCCACTTTTTTAGAGATTTAGGCTGTTTCACGTGTCGTATACTTGATTCCTCAATGACTTGGTAAGTAGGGGCGTATACGTAATTTTATTAAATTTTGATATTTCAGGAATTTTAACTTTTTATAAGGGGTTATATCGTTTAAATTATCAAAAATTGATTACAACTTTTAATTTATTTTTTTTAATTTTAAATGAAGTTAGCAGAATTATTAGCGTAAAACATGGGACAGCTTTCCAAATGAAAATTCATGTATTTTTGGCTAAGTTATAACGACTTGAAAGGGCTGTTTTTTTCCCTTCTTCTTCAGCATTTTTTATCTATATTTCCTTGCTGTTCCGTTGGAGCTATTTATTGGTCCAATGTCCCTTTGGTAACTCACCTTCATGTTGGCTTCTGTGATCTCAGCGACGCTTGAAACGTAACTAACTGACATCTGCCCATGGAAGCTGGGTTTTTATAGCTCCGATCCGATTCGATCCAGGTCGGCTTCCGAGATCCATAATTCCATTTAGCATATAAGGCCAGTTGGCGGTGATCAGCCATGTGTGTGGCTCGTATGTTTGCTGCACAAATGCGGAAACTGGCCCACAGAACAGAGGCTACGTAATAGCCATGTCCCCAGCCCCTTGACCTTCCCCGCACAACCGATATCTATCTATATCTTTAGACTATAGACCATTGACAACTATTCAAGTGCGCGACAATTAGCCACGCCGGTTGACAAGGCGAGAAACAAGACAGACAGGGTCGGCATTTGATTCGGCCAAACCATTCAGTTGGCCAACAATCGTAGCCATGACTTCTATAATTCATATACAATATAGTATAGAATATAACGTAACAATCGATAGGCAAATTACAAGCCACCAGAGAGCCAAAGATCTAGAGAACATATCCAGCACCACGGGCTGTCCATTAAAATTTCATCAGCTGAGAAAACGTAATTAAATTCACTTCGGTGAGTCTTTGCCCTGAAATTAATGCGAGTGTCGCCACTTCTTGGCAAGATTGATCCATTTAAGGTCGCCAATCGACCATGGCTTGGTTATCGATGGCATTTTTTGATTTGCATATCGCAATATTGCAACCAACGGCCAACGTTTGTGTGCAAAAATATGGTCCAGGACAAAATCTTCTTAATAAAAATGTATTTTGACATAAAATATCAAATTATTATTAAGGAAATGCATATTTATAATTTGAAATTTAATATATTATGTCTTTAATTTACTTTTATTGATTGATACTATACTTGTGATTCTTCTCAACAATGAATAATAATATTAATGGTTGCTCGATTTTAAATTAAAAAGTATTTACTAAGAATCAATTGCTTCACAAATTTTAAGTAATAAATACCCTAAGCAAGTACTCATAACTAACTGGCTTTAAGATAAGCTTTGTTTTAATTACAATTATCTAGATTTATTCCATTTAAATAAAGCCACTTTCGCTTTCTAGCCAAGAGGCATTAAAATTATTTATGATACCACTTATCCCACAATTTAAATAGAGCCACAACCTAATACAACCTACATAATAAAAAATAATATGATTTAAAACAAAAATTGAAATTTACAAACACCATACATTTTTTTAAACAGTCATCTCTGTGAGAATTGTCAAAGCAAAATCTTCAGTCAGTCTACACAACAAAGATCTCCCATCATCTGACTAAGCCCTCAGCTAACTATATTTTATACGGAATACCCTTATGGTGGTGAGATTGGGTTTTGGACAACATTGAGTCCCGATTTTGCCAGTATTATGGCCCGTCTGATATTTTCGGAGAAGGATCAAAATGCCTATGATCCCAAGAAATACAAGGTAAGTGCAGGCATCCCCCTTTTGATAATAAACAAAATAAAAACAAATATATTATAAATATAGGTGGTGCACAAGAACCATTGGCGCCAGGTGAGCCTCCTACTGCAGCCATCCAACAAGAAGTGGTGGGAGGATCCCGATGTTGTCGTTGCGTGAGTAGATACCATTGAATGGATTCCAAAGCCACCTTTATAGTGGATGGTGGATGGGGACTCGCACACGTGTGCCAGCTCCCATTGCCGTCAAGTGTTATTCGTGCGGTTTATGGGTACACAGGGAGAAACCGAGTAAAACATACATATACCCAGATTTATTACAATGTTCAAGTATAAATTACTACCTCAACTTTCGCATCAGATATCGATACAGTATCCATGTAGAGAATATGTTACCTTCCCTACTCGAAATCCTATTTATTTGTGGCATATTTTCTAACCAATATTGGTTCTTTCTGTGCAATCTGGTGGCTCTCCGACACTGTTGCTGCCTGCCTCTGCCGATTCAATTAAGATTCTTTGGCACAGTCGCGGTCGCAGCCATAATATTTTATTGCATCCATCAAATTGTCAAGTCAACTCATAATGTATTGCCCTGTAGCCGCACCCACAAATATTTCCAAGGTAATTAAATTCGCGCAAGGGAAATATTCCCCTTTAATTGCATCACACATCTTCGTTTAAGAAAATATACAGAAAATGCATATATTATATATGCAGAGACCCCCAAATCCTGTACAGATATCCGCGATGGTTTCAGAGTTCGGTGCTAATTTCCGGGCCACGTTCAGTCACGCGATGCTAACGAAGCCTTTGATAGATGGCTCAACTTCTCGAATGCAAATGAACACCCGCGAAAATGGAGGGGAATCCCCCGCCAGTGCAGCCAGTCAGCTGTCTGCGAAACTTTCCCAAGTAATTGGGGAACAGGAGTGATGGAAACGGGAAATTGGTTTGGGTTTTCTCACTGGGTCGCACGTCTGACTGAAGTCAAGTTCTTTTTTCAGTCATCGTCAAGGTTAAGATCCTTAAGAGACTTGAGAGGAATGGGAAAACCAAGGAAATGAACGTTTTCACCTAATTTCGGACTAGTTTTGTAGTGATTTCTGAAGTAGTTAGAAAACTTGGATATAGAGATGTACTTCTGGTAGCTGATTCTTTAACTTAATTTGAATTAATTTTTATTTATTTACTTCTAATTTTTGGTGCAGGGAGCATTAATCATTAATTAGGTACATTTTTATAAAGATCCATAAGGTACATCGATACCAATATAATATGAAAACTAATATATGTATTCATATATCATTCATAGTTGCGATAAGTCTATGTATATTCTGGTTGATATATCGGAATAATATTAGTCGGAAAAAGCCAAGGAAATTTTATTTATCGGAAATATTTCTAAATATTTCTAGCTTGAATGCAAAATTATTCGATGAATCAATCAAAACAAGCCAAATATCAAATCAATACTTTATAAACACCAATAAGAATTATATTATTTTCCAATAATGCTTCCTCTCCTATCAAGTTTACTATAATCTTCCTCTCATTTTAAATTAATTAAGCCCACCTCCCTCTAAGTGAAATGCAATATTTTTCGATGTTCAAATCAAAATGCTTTGATATTTTTTAAACACCAAAATAAAACCCTCTCCTATCATATTTACTATGATCTTCCCCTCATTTTAAATTAATTAAACCCACCTTTCAGTACCCCTAGAAGGGAACCCTATAAGGGAACCCTATAAGGGAACCATAAACCATTTTCTCATCCCCGAAAACTCTTCCTTTGTTGAAAGGCCTGCGTATCCACACAATGATGCGAGGTGCCAGGCAAATGAACCGAAAACAAAACCAAGCGAGCGGGTAATGAAAGGGCGATACTATAAAATATATAGTATATGGTACACACTACCCAATGCAATGCCGACACTTTGCGTGTTCAATAAAAAAAAAAGTGAATGAAAAGGGAAATCGCGGAAAAGCGGGTAAGCGGAAAACGGTGTCAGTGCGAGGACAACGAAGAAGGAAAGTACTTAAGCGGCGCGTCACTCAATCAGAATGATATTATTTTTAATGGCGCAAAATGGATACAATAAACAGCGAGTACGAGCGCGTGGCTGCCACGCAACGGACACGGACACGGACAGGCCTCCGAGATCCCACCCAGAATTCAGACACATGCTATCCGTTCGTCCCAGGATGAGGACGAAGTTTCTTCACAACGGAATCCAAGTCGGAAACTTAATTACATTTCAATTTTTGGCCCTAAACAAACGGCTCGCGCGCGCTCCGCATATGTCACTCACAGCCGTGAAGTCTGATGCCTCCGCGGGCATCGGCGTGGTGGCGGGCGTGGGACGAGCTGTTGCTCTCTCCGATTCCCGGGAATGGGCCCCACCGCCGCCGGGCAAGCGGTGCGCCACGGTGACGATGCTCCTGGCCCAGCGGATAGCACGCAACGCCGGTTGCTGGGCAGTCGACGAGGAGCCCTCGTACAGTTCGAACAAGATGAACGTCTGGCAGACGCTGGAGTACCTCTCCGGGCTGAGTCTTCGCAAGAAGTACAACTACGAGGGATATGCCGATACGCACAATGTGATCAGGACCTTGACTCCATCCTGGCGAAGGGATAGTTTCGCAGAGAAGGCCAAGGCCGAGGAGCTGACGGGCGGCGCCGTGGCCGGAGCAGGAGGAGGAGCATCTGTCACAGGAGTCACCAAGTATACCGAGGAGCGTTCATCGACGGCTCCCTTAATTGCCCAGGATGCTGCCATTAGGAGTAGTTTTCAGAGCAGCGATAATGTGGCCCTGGGCAGGAGTGGTTCCTCCGGACTTCGCAGGAGGCATCGCAGCAGGTCCAGAAAGCGAACTGGTCCCCAGTTGGATCCCGAGTACGCCCTGTCGCCGGAGGATCTTCAGGATTTGGTCAAGTGCAAGTAAGATTATATCAAATGTTCATAACAGTTGGGATAGTTTAATTAATTATTGAATTAGGGGACAAATAGAAAATTTACACCTAGTATAATTGCTAATATCTATATTTTAAGGTTGAAATTACAATAGAAATGTCAACCAAATATATAACATCATTTTTCTAAAATGTTCTATAATTTTTAAAATTATTACAAACCTTTTTAAACAGTTTTTTTTTTAAGTGTAGCCTCGCAAAAGTTTTCCAACAAGCTTAGCGGGTACAGAAACCTGTGTGAAAATGTTAGCAAAGACTAAACCCCCTCAGCAAATATTATTTTAATTATTTTTTGTTCGCTCAACTCTTAGGATTTTTTCATTTCCGGATTTTTTTCTTGGCTTCCAACATTTAATTTAAAACGTTAAATATTTTTTATGCTTAATATATATTTTCTTAAATTTATATATTACGATATATAAATATATAAAATATATATAAAAAGCCACAGATGTAGGCTTTACCCTCTAAGCCAATGCTGCATAATCCCACCCAAGGAAATGTTAAACACCCACAAATTGCAAGCGACAAGACAATGCAATGAAAAGTGGGAGGAAGTATGGTTGAAATAAGAGTGGGAGCTGCAAATCTAGGGCGTTGTGACACTCTATCCGGAGGTGGAAGCAGCCACCCAGGAGACTGTCTAAGATGACGCACAAAACTACTAAAACAAACCAAAGATGACGCGGAAATGCTTTCGTTTTGTGTAAAATGGAATCGAAGAACTCAAAACTCAACTCCGATTGCTCGAGTTTTCTGTCGATGAAGTTGGCAAAGCTTTCGCGGTGCCGGAAGTCATGGCAATTAAAGTTGGCGGCTCAGGTCGTCGTGGAGCAGCTCCTCCAAGTGGAGGCGGAAACGGAAATGAAGTCGTTGCATGACAGAATGTCGATGACGAGTTTGCATTTCGCCTCCACAGTGTGTTGGCTTTTTCAACCAAAATTTTTGTAGTAGAAATTCCAAGAGAAATTGATTCAAATACTCTAGGGAAAAATCACGTATACGCCATGTCGCCCAGGGTTAAAATTAATTCATGGAATAAACAGATATGTTCAACTAGCTTTAGTAATTAAGGAATATTATTACAATCTCAAACAATAAAAATGTTTTAACAAGAGAAATTCATTTAAATACTTTAGGAAGAAATCACGTATACGCCATGTTGCCCAAGCTAAAACAAATTCATAGAAAGAACAAATATTTTCAAAACAATAAGATATATTGTATAAAATAATATCTTTCTGTCAAGCTCTGTATGAATTGATAACTTTTTCGTACGAAATTCATGGAATAATTGAAATACAAGACTAGAATTGACCTACAAATAATGGCATCTCCCATGGCAAATACATAGTGAAAGTGCCAATATTTGTGGAATGTCAAAGTCAAAATTTTTGCCACCAAGGAATCGAAGCACGAAGCTATCGAAGCCTCAAAGCCAAAGAGCCCCCTAAGCCCCCAAGACTAAGCCAACTCCGACAGCCGATACAAAGTGTTTGCTCAATTTCCGCGCTTCGAGTCGATTATGGGAAATTATTGTATGTCTCGTTGGCATGAAAGGCGGCCATAAAGCAGAATTGTTATCTGGTTTCACGGTAATGTGAGACTACGCTCCCGCAACTCCATTTTCATTCTCCCCCGCCAGGACCCTTCTCTAGCCGAATAGTTCGCCCTTTCCTCGGTCTCCTCGCGGGGAAAACTTTCAGTCAGTTCGTGGGTTTCGTGCTCAAGCAGATACCTCTAGCAGAGACAGAGGAAAAACGAGATCTAACGATGAAATAAACACCGACAGTTGTTGGCCATAAACAAGGGCCAAAAAGGGAAAAGCCAGTAAGTGAAATGGTTAAACGGAAACGGGCATCTGGACTCCATTTGTCACCTTTCCAAGAGCACAACTACTTAAAAGGGAGCCTTTGTTTGATTTCGAAGAAAAGTTTAAAATAAATCTGTTCACATTCTTTAAATTGAATTTTCTGTATACTTTTATAGGAAAATTGTTCGTCAAATCAAAGTTTAAGAAACTCATATCTTAGCCAAAAATGCATTAATTTCAATTCGGAAAGCGCTCGTATGTTAGCAGGTAAATAAAACTGCATACTCCATTTAAAATGTGAATTTTCGGCAGATTTTTTTAAATTGTAACCCCTTTCCTTTTTTTCAAAAAATGGGAAATTATTGAAAAAAAATTTTTTTCGGCCGGATATAGCTGGAAAGATATGCAATTTGATGCTGATCAAGAATATATATGATTTATAAGGTCGAAAACAACTCCTTCACTGCGTTGCATACTGAAATTAAAATACCCTGAAAGTGTTTAAAATGTATATTTATTCTTGACAATCATAAGCATCCGAGACTTATGTAGATCAGGGGGATCTGTTGCAAATAAAAAGTAATGAGATAAAAGGGTCTGAACTCTTCCCAAAGTTGGCTTTTCTTAATGCAGTAATTTTTTGTAAAGACCTTTTACGTTTGTATTGTACGCTATCAAATCTTAAGGGTTTTCTCTTTTACCAGGATATCTTTACAAAATACTGACTTGAACCGCATTCCTTCAGACTATGTAGGAAGCCACCACGAATCCCTGTGGCAGGACTCGCATTGCCTGTGTTGGGAACTTGTTGACTTGACACACTACACGCCGTGCACTTTGTCACAATATTGACATTGGTGTCGTGTCATTACGCCCAGCATTAAACGCTTTAACATGCGAGCCGAGCCCCGGCTCCGAGAGGGGGAACTGGGGATCGGACTCGTCCTCGTACTCGGAATCCGATTCGGAATAGGAACACGATATACTCGTGCATTAGGGACCGAGGGTGAAAGTTTTCGGGGCTGGGCTTGGGCGTGCCACTCCTCCCACGTGCCACTCGACGCCGCACACACATGTGTGTAAGTCAACAACAAAACAACAGAAGGCGGAGGGGGAAGGGGCCCCAAGAAAAACCCAAGGAAAACCCTGGGAATCACATTGAATCCCGTGAAAAGGGCGCCACATTCGCCGGTCGCCTTTGTCGAGTTCGGGTGAAAGTTCCGCGGAATACTTCCATCGTTCCCGGTGCGAAAATGAGGAACTAAGGCCAACACCTGTCCTAACACCTGCCACTGTCCCTGTCCTGGACCAGTTGACATGGCCGGCAAGTTGAAGAGGCGGCGCTCCAAGAAGCCATTGCCCTTGATGGAGCTCTCCGTTGAGGAGGACTTTCTCATTGATTTTGTCCAGTGCAATCTGGAACCGGAGGAAAGGTATGGAAAATTGGGGGGGAACTAGAAAAATAAATACTAAAAAGGTGATAAGGGGTTTAGCATATGTTAGAATATGTTTATCTTATATCTTAAGAAATTGTTTGTCTTAATTTTCATCATAAAATCTTTATACAAAGCTTTTATATTTCAAAATATTATATATTTGATTGGTAATATAAATATTGCTATACAAAACCTTGCTGTCCTTCAACTATATAATTTTTCATCTTATTTGTTGCATAAAAATAATCATCCAAAGATGCGAATCACATTTTTATATAGATATTCCTTTATTGCACTCTCATTCCCTTACAAAATTGATGACTCTATCGTGCTACGTGTTGCAATTATCAATTTTAATGGCCGGAATGGCGAAAGCAAAGGGCATAAATGTCAACTCTTCGGGAAATTTATGCACGTCCCAGGCATTAATTAGCGATGCACACTTGCAGGAGCCCCATGTCCCCTTGTCGTCCTCGAATCCTGCTTCATAGTTCGCCTTCAATTAGCGATGACAAGGCAAAGCAGGCTGTAAGCTAATATGGTTCATGCTCCAGAGCCGCTAATTAAGTCATAAATGTAATCAATGGGACTCTTACTTTCTGACACATTATGCGGCAGAGAAAGAAAAATCAGAATTCAAAAAGGTTAAAGAGTTTTCTCTCAGTAAAATATAATCTATATCTATTAGAAAACTTTGTGATTCACCTAAAAGAAATACTCTTGAAACCACCTAGAAGAAAAAACCATAGATATACCAAATGATTCCATAAAATATATAACATATATAACTCCATTTTCATAGACCTATGAAAGTAAGCAAAGAACTCACAAATAAAACCATTTGTAATGGCTTATTGAGCTGGCTAAATGGCAATCGGATATGGGTTAAGCCCACGCACTACCCGGCAAATGGGTTAATGTCGAGCGGAGGCAAAAGGGGAAATACCACAGGTGGGAGAGCCGTAAATCAAGGGCCCACCTGATGTACCCTACGCTACGCAACGCAACGGATGCGATTTCCAGGGAGTTGCAAGTTTCGCGGAAGTTGCAGTAAAACCGAGATGTTGAACCATAGCAGGAACTGCCATATAAATTCCCCCTCTTTCCCCTCGATTGAGAGGCACATAAATCGGGGGACTTTCTAGGCCAACAACGACATGACAGATTGCTTACCCCCCTTCCCTCTTTGGGCCATAATTTATGCATGCGACCCCCGCGTGTGTGTGCGAGTTCGAGGTTATTGATACGACGACAACACCCATTGATGTCCTGAAAATTTCATTATCAATGTCAATGCTATGTATCTCTGCTTGCCTCTCACCTCGCCGGGGATTGGAAATTGATTGAATTGAACTTTAACGACTTTGAACTATTGCGAGTTGCACTCGAAAATAATTCGAATGGGAATCTATACAGCAATTGTTGAAGTTTTTGGGATACAATCTTGCTATTTAAAGCTGTTAAAATATGAATAAAATAATAATATTAGACTATAACAAAATACAACATTTAATATCACTATATTTCATTTTTAAAGTCACAAAACACCCTTTTCTTCGAGCTTTATTTCTTCTAAATGCCTTAATATTAAAGTCACCATCCCTTAGAGCACTTTTTTACCAAGTAGTTCTCAAAATCCTTTACTTTTCTCTGTGTGTAAGATTGTCCTCGTCGTTGTAGCCGTCGAGACATCAAAGCCACACAACAAAGTATCCGTAACAACTCGTATATCTCTGTTAAAAAAATATATATATACTCATAAACCGAGTTACGTGAGATGGTAATGGATTTTTGATTGAGTGTTCTTGGCTCTGACCCAAAAAATAAAAATGTACCCTGACTAAGGCAAACAATCCGGATCACAAACTATAAACTATAAGCTATCCCTCTAATTGTCAACTAAACGACAATCATTAACTAGGACTAGTCCTAATCCCCGAGCACACACCACCGAGCCCTGAGGCAGCAGCACAGAGCTCGGGGCTCTCATGACCTGACTGCATTAAGTTGCTTTATGGCATGTAGAAATAAAATACCTATTTACCATATAAGAACCGCAAAAAGTAAGAGAGATGGCCGGAATGAAGGTTCGGGCCATGTGAGTCGCTGTTGCTGCTAAAAAGGCTAGCGAAAGTCGGCAAGTCTACAGACAGGCAGCCAGGCAGGCAGTCTTCCCTCGCTAAGACCGCCACCCTTTCACTCTGCATGTCTAAAATTACGCTAAATTTTCTAGGGGAATGGGGTAAAGAAAGGTGAGGGGTAAAATATGTGTGTGATTTCTTGCTGTATGTGCATATCACGAGAAATATATACACATATTTGCAAAGTTTAAGGAGACAGTGGATTGGCCTACAAGATATTTAATCAGATAAAACTTTCAGAAAAATTTCATAAACCTTTATATTAATAAAACAAAATATATTAGACTGTTTTAAAGATAATTTAAATTAAATAAGAAAGAGAAAAAAAGAGCTGAAGAGGTATTTACACAATTCTTTCAGAAAACTAATGTTTTAATGGGGCAAACTCTCTAAAACTTAAATACATAAACAGAAACATAGAAAATAAACCCTTTAAGGCAAATATAGAATAATTTCTTGACTTTGAACTTACATCTTACATCCTAAAATTTTCATACTAGCGTAAATAATTTATTTAAATATTTGTATACCCTTTTGCAATGTATTATCATTTCAGTCAGAAGCTTGAAACGAAGAGAAAGAGTCATTTCCGACCCTATAAATCATATATATTCTTGATCAGCATCAACAGGTGAATCTTTCTAGCTATATCCGGGCGAAACAATTTTTTTTCAGAAATTTCCCATTTTCTGAAAAAAATGAAAGGGCCTACATCATGAAAATTTGCGAAAATCGGACAAAAATCCACATTTTAAATTAAGTATGCAGTTTAATTATCCTGCTAAAACTGAACATACGACCGCTTTCCGAATTGAAATTAATGCACTTTTGGCTTAATTATGAATTATTTAAATTTAGATTTGTCGTAAAATTTGCATATAAAAATATATATTTAATATCGATTAAAAAGTGGTATTTCACCTTCAGTCAGAATCTTAACAGAAAGTGAAGAAATCATTTGCGACTCTATAAATCATATACATATAATTAATAATTATATGAACTCAATAAATAACTCAATAATATTTATTGAAAACCAAGTCTTAATTCTTTCCCATTGTGCCGAAGGTGGTATGTGTGTGGCGTATTCAAAGCCAAAAACGACTCCTTCTTGTCCTTGTGTTGTTGGTTTCGGGTGTTTTTTTGGGCAACTTTGGCAACCAACGGGGAGAAAAAAAATACGAAAACGTTGTGGCAGCGACGGCGGCAAAACGCAGCGACGGAAAGGCGAAGGAAAAGCGAAGGAAAAGCGCTATAGTAACCGGCCAGAATGCGGCCCGACCTCATTCGTTGCCCGCAGTTACAAGCGCTAAAACGCCTTCAGCGGATTGGATTGGACGCCGATGTGGGATTAGCCCCACCACCTGGCAGGTGGTGTACCCCGCACCTGTGGGTGAGTGAGTGGAGCCAGTGGAGTGGGTTGTCCCGTGGCCTGTCCGTAATTAAGCGTGAAAATTATTGACTCACATTTTCGGGGTCATTAACATGGTCTTGTCTCCCATTTGTTATTGTTTCTCCTGGCTATCAATTTTCTCTCCCCTCTTGAAATTTATTTGAATTTTCTTTGAGTTTTCTCTGAATTTTCCCTAATTCTGTCCTCTTTTTTTCAGTTTCAATTTGCCGCGCATTAGCGCCCGCTTGGAGCGCCTGATGGGCACCAATGTGGTCAAGCTGACGGACCGCGCCTACATGAAGGAGCTCCGCGAAAGGATCGACGAGGATTACCGCAAGCAGCTGCTGTCCCGCATCCGGGCCAGGGAGGTGAGTTATCCGCCAATCTCGACGGCGGATGGACAACCAAATTAGGCACCCAGAAAGCCACAAATGCGACCAATTTGTCCCTTTGCCTGGTAATTCAATTTTCATAAAGTTAAGCGGGGGAAAAATATGAGAAGCCAGTCGCCGGAGTCCTAAACAAATTTTGTCGCCAGGGTGAGAGTCACGTAGAATAACAATGAGAGAGTAGGAGGAAACTCTTGAAAGGGTTGTATATTTAGTTTCTGGGGGAAAAAACCTTAAGGTGTTGTTTTTATAGAGGATTCTAGACTTGAATAAAGTTACAGAATTTATTATTATGCCAATTTCAATAGAGGATTTTTTCAAAACCTTGTTTTTCATGAGACAGATATAAAATTCCTAAAAAGAAATACCCAGGTTATTGATAATTAAAAAGAGAGATTGTAGATTAATAACATATAAATGTTATGTGTGTAGTCCAGATTCAGAGGAAAATTAGAGAAATTCGCATCTTAATTTCCCACTATTGTATTCATATTTAGAATCCAAGTCTCTCTTAAATAAATTAACAAATTAATTAGAAAATAATTCTGCTAGTCCATAATCCCCAATATTACTTACACTTTTCCATTGTTTATTTAGTGTCTTTTGGCCATATACCCTTTTCAAGATTTCCCTTTTTCCTCATGGCAGCGAAAGTGTCTCAAAGTTTTTCAATGACACCGACACCGCCTACTTATTCTTTTGCCTATCTCCCTGCTGCCTCGTGGCACAAACAATTGAATTCAATGAGGCCCCGACATGAAAATGGCAAATCCAAGCCGTCAAAGTAATAAAAATTAGACCAGAAACAGAGGGAGAACAGGGCGCAGGTTGCCCTTTATGTTTGCGAGACATGCGAGACATGAACTCCGAACTCCGAACTGTGAAGTACAAAGTGCTTCACTGCGGATACGGATACTTAGGGATCTGTCTGTCTGATATGTCCCTAGCTGCAATTGCAGTTGCCTCAACTTTTCGTATAAAAATAATAGTAAATAATGAAGAATAAGGAGGCGCTTCCGTTTATTGCATTCCCATCGTCGTCGAGGTCTGCGCAATGCGGCGCCCGAAACAGATGAAAGGTGTCAAAAGTGCTGATGGGCATGGAAAATTGGCAACTGGAAACTCAAACGCCCACTCACAGATACACTCTTCAAATTTCTAAGAACTTATTTAAGCCACAAAGGTGCCACCACAATCCGCAGCATTTCTGCTTTTATATTTAACCGCAGGACTCTTCCTAAAGCCTCATTATTATTTCAAGAAGCAACAGCTTGTCATGTCGTAAAATATATTAATAGATGGAAAAACCAATAGTGAGAAAGTTAATTCGTTTAACTTACTTTTAGTGTGTTTGGGAAAATCATCATTGGGAAAATACACATGCTTTTGGGAAATAAAAAGAAGTCTGAGGAGGAGAAGCCTTAGGATCTAAGCTGCATTATTTTCAGTGAATTTTCCTTATTTTATGCAATTATTTTTTTGATTTCCTATATATATAATTCTTTAAAAAATATATGTACACTTCCCCTTAAAATTTAAACAGCTTAAAGAAGTTGAACGCGAGCGTATGCTTATTATCGAAGGGAAGTCAGATGTAATACCCGACGAACTGGCCGACGATCCCATATTTATGGTCAACAAAGATGCCAACATGGAGATCCAAAAGGAGCGCGCCAAAGTAAGTAAGCTAGAGGAGGAGGAGTTACCCACTCTGGATGACCTACACCTCCTGTATTCCACAGTTAAAGACCGCTCGGGAAAAGAATGCGGAACGTTTGAAGCTGCAGGGAGTCAAATGGGAACGGGAGCGTCTTCAGCATGCCGCCAAAGAGGCGGAGCTTCTGGCCCAGAAAAAGGAACGCCAACGACAGCAGAAGCTACTCGTGGAGCAGTACAGGACCGAGGATGCGGAACGAGGCATGGATCTATTGCGGTGAGTCTCGAACTTTAAAGGCCATTATATTGGTCTTATCCATCCAAATGTAGAAGGTAGCAATTTATGTTTTTATATAACATATATTAATGTTATATTGATATTCTGCACTACCCTTTAAAACTCTGTTTAACCTCCTCCTCCGATTAATATCTGCAAAATTAAAAATGAACAGAGCCCGCGAAACAGCAAAAATAACAATACATTATATTTTGCGTTGACGCTCGGCGCCAGATTCTTGGAAGCTCTTTATCCCCAAGTGAGTTGGGGGCCAGGAAGAAAAAAGCCTGGCTAAGTTGCATGCATTGTAAAAAGATGAACCCACTGGCTTAAACGACCTTCAGAGGGGGGAAAAATGTGGAGGTTTTGGCCGGGAAGCTCCAACAAGTTTGAATGCTCTATAAATTCTTGGAAAAAGATTAGCTTCTGAATTGTAAGGATATGTATGAGGTTTCTAACCTTGTGACTGCTTTTTCAGGGTTAAATCGCATAGAAAATAGATTGTTCACGGAATTTTTGATTAAAGTATTTTATAAAGAATTATATATATTTATATTTATTAATCCAGATATTTATATTTATTACTATTAACATTACAAATCAAGTTTTTCTGTGAATGACTTGACTGATTAAACACCATTTATAGATTTATAAAATATATAACGCCAGGTTTTGTATCTAAATAACTATGGCAGTCTAAAAATAAATACTTTGGATATTTAGGGAACCATATATGTAGATAATATTTATGCTACACTATAAAGTCTGCCAAAAATAACCTGGGTAATAGGCCTTTGATAAAGCAATCAAAAAATATTGTAGATTAATTTAGGTACTTTTGGTGCATTGTAACAAAATTTCTAGTTAAGATAATGGTGTCTCTCGTTTAAAGAATTTCTGGTAAATAATATTTACCCCTCACCTAAAAAGAGTATCGGAAAAAGATTATAGAAACTGGGAAAACCCTGTGCCTTCCCAAGGCGCATTATTAAACGTAGCTTTTTTTTATCCAACGGGGGACGGGCCCATTAATATGCATGAGTTGAATGTTTAGCGAGTTTGCTTCGCAACATGGAAGCTAATGAAAGGAAAACTCCTTTAACCGCCCTTTTCCCCCGATTTCCTTTTCCAGCATCGAAAACGAAGAGTGGCGCGAGTGCGAAAAGAGCCTGAAGGAGTTCCTCGAGCAGGAACGGGCCAAGATGAAGGAGCGTTCGATGCGAGTCTCCCAGCCTTTCTCCTCGGATCCGCTGGACATACAGAATATAGTGAGGGCCAGGTGAGATGGAGTAATCAATTAATAACCTAAGCATAGGCTAATATTTATGAAACATTGTTTTCAGACAAAAATTCCGCGAAACGGAGCTACGTATACGCAACCAGCTGGAGGACAAGCTGAAGGATGTGAAGACGGCGGTCACCACACAGCAACTTACCGAAATAATCGAGGATGCCCACCGTGCCAGCCAGGAGGTGTTCCGGGAGCCATCGCTGGAGGACGATGAGTGCCAGGACGATGCCATGCATCCCAAGTACCTGGACGATGTGACCGATGTCTCCGAGGAGACGGTCATCAGCGAGGATGCCATTAGTTTGACCCTGGCCAAGCAGCAGTATGCCGAGGAGCTGGAGGCCGAGATGGAGGATGAGTTCAACAGGGGACTCCTCATTTCCAAGCAGCAGTACGATCAACTTCGCTTTGAGGACGAAAAGATTGTGGCGCTCAGAAATGCCAAGGTAACTGGGGATCACTTCATTCATTTGCTTTTAATATTTAGGATTTAAATAAAACAAAAATCTACTGTTTCAGGACATTCGCGAGCTGTACCAGCTGGCCGAGGAGATCATCACCGGTGAAATCTTTGAGGAGGCGCCGGAGGAGGGCGAGGAGGAGTATTTCCCCGAGGAGGAGGTAGAGGTCAGCGACGAAGCCGAGCCACCACCGCCGCCACCCCCAGCTTAGCTTATAGGAGGAGCATCGGATACCATCGGAGGTCAGCAGCAGGAGGAACTGTGTGGTTCGACCTTTCCACCCGTTTTTCGCTTTTTCGAATTTTACAAAGTTTGGCCAAATATTTTACGTTTCCCCCAACGGAAACCGAAATATTTCACCAAATTGTGCAAAAAACCATTCGGGACTAGCCAGTTTTGTTGTTTGCTGTTGCCTGGCGTCATCTGAATCGCAAGAAATTGAAACCTGTCAATCAATCACAACAATTCCGGTTGATATCTGTCCAGTGGGGTTTAATTAAGGCTGGCCAAGTGGCGATAGTGCCCGCATTGCAAAGCAGCAATAATTATAATAAAGCTACAGAAAAGCAATAAAAACAAACGCGTGACTCAATTGCACATTTCAATGCCTTGTCAGTCGCCGACAAGTATGCTACAAATATTTGCTTACTGATACGAATGCCGGAACCGATATGTAGTATACATATGCGGGCGGACGGGTGAAATTGGGTCGTTCCAGAAATTAAGCTGGAAATTACTATTTATATAGTTCATAAATTATGTTCTTGAAATTTAAATCAAAAATATGAATTTTAAATAGGTTTTATTATTAGAAAGAAACTTGTTAATGAATTGATTTAATCATAGCATCTTGCATAATTTCTTTATCAAAAAAGGATACATAAAAATAAATACAAAAGCGAATTGTAATATTCATTATCCGCACATTTTGCACATTTAATAAATTTTTCCAGCGAAATCGATTTCCCGGAACGCCCCCAACAAAATCTCAGCGTAATTAGTCGCGCTAATTTGTTTATCAATTTGTATTTGGCTTTGAGCGACGCGCCAGGCCACGCCATGGCACTCATGTGAGGAGATTGCACAAACGTGGCCAGAAGGGCGTGACGCACTTGGTCGGATAAACGGATAGATGGATGGACTGGATGGACTGGATGGATTCGATGACATGGCCTGGTGGAGGCACACACCCACACCGCATGGACTTTGGTCTTCTGATGCAACTTAAGTCGAAAACCGCTTACCCAGAGTACAGAGAACAAGAGAGAGAGCGGAGAACGAAGGATGGGCCAAAAATAGCCTTGGTCTTGGCCAAAAATATCAACTACTGAGGGGCTTCCTCCCCACAAACTCCTCCTTCCTTCCCTTTCCCTTTGCCCGTCCCTTATCCTTGGCCTGTTTGAGCACTTAAACTTTTCAGAACGGCTATTATTGGTTTTTTTTGCTTGGGGTAAGTGTCATCTTCTGCGGTTGCCACCGGCAATTTGACAGGAAAACCCTATATATGCTTATTTTTTCTGTGCCGCCTTTTAGGCCAAAACAACACACACATACGCACACCCTCAAAACAATAACGAAAACATCGAGGGAGGGGAAAGAAGGGGAATCGATGCGAATGCAAATCGTATGGATTGTCCTCCATTACTCACAGTTATTTCACAGCAAAGTGTCTTCATTTTTTGCGAAGGCCTCGGGGCACGGCTGGCACGGCTGTTGACATCCTTCAACTTGGGTGACCCCTGAACCCGCGGATCTATAGTGGAACTGGATGAAGAAGCCAGTCAGACGATTGGGCAAGGACATGGTTCAGGTTCAGGTTCAAGTAGGGAAAATTCTATTTAAAAATTGTCCAAATGTAATCAACTTGAACTTGAAAATGAGTAGTTACCGGAGTGATTGATCTTATTATTTATGCAACGAATGAATTCACTTTCACAATAGATTTAAAAGCAACAAATTAATTGAAAACTTTATAACTTTAAATAGGGAATTTATTAATTTCTAAAATGTTATTTGGTTTGGTGACTATTTCAGTTAAATTTTAACTAAATTACCTCTTAGAACTTCGATCTAACAGTTGTAACTAAATAAATATAATTGGGACATCTTAACGTATGAGTGATATTTTTGTATCGATCCAACAGCTAAAAAATTGTAAAATTTAAATGAATAATTCAGAAATGTCAGAAAGAGTTCAAACTTTCAACAATATTCAAAAATAGAGTTTAATATTTGTCATAAAATATTTAAAGAAACAAATTCACTGGAAACAGGTCTTATTATTTACATTTTAAATATGTATTATAATTTCAGTCAGAAGCTTAAATGAAAGTGAAGCAGTCATTTGCGACCCTATAAACCATATATATTCTTGATCAGAATTATCAGCCGAATCAATCTAGATAGGTCCGTCTAAAATTTATTTTTTTCAAATTTTTAAAAAATTTGTAAGGGGTTACATCGTTAAAATTGTTAAAAATTGACAAAAAATTTGAATGTTCTGAAATGTTACATCAAGTATCCAGATTTATAAACCTAACAAATACTAAGATAGAAAAGCTTTCTGTTTTAAAATTAAGGCTTTTTTGGCATAGTTATGCGATTTTTAAAATATGATTTGTCAACACATTCTACTATATAAATCCAACATTAGTTTTCTTTCTTCTTTGGCTTGCTTTAAGAATTCATTTCAAGTTATTTAAAATCTCCCATTATTTCTCATCATAAAAATAATAAAATAATTATGAACCCAATATATTTGTGATGTAATTACACCTGTGCCAATTTTATCAAAATGACCCAAATACACACGTCTAACTGAGATTTATGAATTGTCACGCACACCACTGTCTGCATTGTCATATAGCAGTCACGATTCCATAAATAGAATAGTTAAACTCGCCAACTCCATTTACATATCGTTTCAAAAAAAAGCAGCAAAAAGAATTTACAGAAGGCCAATGACAATGGAAGGAAAGTTAAGCTCTCCCTCCTTGGGACTTTCCGCGGAGCGTAAAGGATTTCCGCGGCGTCACGGAGCTCCTTCCCCCGCCCACGTCGCAGCCAGATTCCGGGAATCAAATGACGCGTCCGGCTGCCATATTCCGTAAACTGTATTGTCAACAAATGGCCTCACCCCTCCCCAGTATTATTTATCACCTTTTTTCTGCACATTTTTTTTTTTGGGTGGTGTGAAGCCGTGAACTCGTGACGCCATTTCGCGACTTGTTGCCTACTTAGTGGCGCGCATATCTTGGCACGCTGAATAATTGCCAAGGGAATATTTCATGGGGCATAATATCGCAGTGCTAAACTTTTTAAATGTGCCGAAAATAATTCATTGATAAAACCCAGAAATATATATTCTAGAAGCGGAGAGAAGCAGTGTTGAAAGCTTGCTGGGAAGCTTTTACGCACTTTTTCCCTTTTGGCGCCTCGACATAGACATCGGCTTTTTGAACCGCCTCGGCCGATGATGGTGACTGTTGGCCAATGGCAGTCGGCTTTAACACCGGATCGGGCCATATAAAAGGACGCAGCTAGGCGAGTCAGCCACGCAGTGCTCAACAAGTAGCAGGAGCAACAGTTGACACACAGTTCCCAAGTTCTCAAGTTTTGCCCAGTTCTTTGACGAACCAAACTGTATTTTCCAACGACATTTTAAAGTGAGTGTTGCCATAGTTCGATTTCCCGGAAAAAGAAAATTTTAACATGACATTTATAAAAATATTCTGGTTCGTGCTTAATTGGAGCCACACGAAACCCGTTAAAAAGGACACCGAAATGCGTCGCGAAATCTTAGAAATGCCGTCGCTTTCGTCATAAATTTCTGTGTAGACCAAAATGAGTGCCTTATAAATAATACAATTATAATTTAGTGTGGTTAATGAACTCTTAAATACAAAGAAATCACAAAGGGACAATAAAAACAGTGGTTTTTAATGAAAACTTACCTAACAACAATTAAGACATAAACGTTTGATCTTTAAATTCACAAAATGTGGCCAAGTGAATATGATATTTTAGTTTTCAATTGCTAAATTAATTTAAAAAGCTTTATAAAATAATTTGTTTTATTCTTAAAACCTTAAATATTTTTAAATTATTTAAATCATTTTTAACTACTCAGCGCTTCTTTGTATAAAAATAAGAAATTAAATATATAGATCATTTAGACGGAATTTTAAACAACTACTTTAATTAATTCTACAAATATTTCCTCCTTCAATTAATTGTAAAATCAAATACTTAACCCGTAATTTTCTTTGCACAAATCTCACTTGACAACCTTTAATCAAAGTAATTGTTTTGAAACCGCAAGCAAAATCAAAACCAAAATATTACTCATACGCCACATATGTCGCCTTAAGTTGGTTGGAAAAAAGATATGTGCGGTTTTCAAACTACTCAACATGAATTAGTCCTGGACATATTTGTGCGAAAAGTGCGCCATAAATACTTTATCAATGTCAATAACTCGAAGGAATTCCCCCGAAGGCCAAGCATAAATGTCAAGCGTAAATAAACCAATGAATGTCTTTGGGAAACAAATAGAAAAAAAGCATCAATATTTGCGGAAAATGCTGTCAAGCAATTGTGTTCTCCCTCTCCCCCTCGCTCCCTCTGTCGTCTTTCACCTGCCGACTTTCCCCTTTTTACGTGCAAAGAAAAAAAATATTAAAGAAATAAATAAAAATCGAAATCATTCAGTAGTGAACTCAGGTGCTTTTCATAGGTATTTCTATATGAGGACAGCATCCCACTGGAATTTATCCCAAGTCCTTGCAGTTGTTTACCAAAGTGTGTCAGCGTTTTTCTTCTTTTTTTTTGTGTCTGGTCCTTAGCAACTGGCTAAGGTATCAAATTATATACCCCTGGATAGAAACTTTCTTAAGTTACTGAAGCAGAAACCTTGAATTTAATATAGAGTTTGATGGCTTAATATGATGGGATTTAATAAGGATCTCTTAGATTGTTACCAGCTTGAAAAATGGAAATCAAAAAGAAGAGAATTTTTAAATTTGCGGGAAATAAATAAATTGATTAATGTCACGAGAAGTCTTTCTTTAATAAACTTGAAAATATCAATTGGTAAAATTAATACAAAAAATGCTTAGAAAGAACTTTAGTTCTTTAAAGGGTTCTGTACAAAATATACCTTAGATCCAGACAATATTTATCACTTCCAAAGTACTTATCTAAAATTTAAAAGAAAATAAAGTTGTTAGTTTTTTAAAGACATAGATTTTACATTTTCAGTATTTCAGTTTTTCAAGGGCTTTCACCTTTACAATTGTTTTATAAACAAAAAACTCAATTTTGTTCGAGTATAACTCCCACATTTTCCCGATTTTCAACCCTCGGTGTCTTGTCAGACATCTGGTTTTCCTCAATTGCTTGTGTTGGCGTTCGGAAATTTCGACAAGTGACACCAGCTGGCTAGCGACCAATTCAATAAATTTGGAATAATATGGAAATTATGTAATAAATGTCCCCTTTGGTTATTACACAAGGAGACCGTGTCTAATTGGCACTAAACCGGGGACAAATGTCAGATGCACTTGCAGAGAGCAAAGTCTGTTCCCAGATCCCAGTTACCAGTTACCATTTCCCCGATTGCTAATTAACCAAAGTTTTTGCACTATTCCTCGACACATGGACAGGACAGTACAAGTGGGTGGACAGACAATTAAGGACACAGCCTATATCCTTTGGGTCTCAGAGCCCACTTTCGTTCATATTTCAACTCAATTTAGCAATTAGCCAAGCGTTTATTGCAAAAACGTAGCCGGACATAGGGGGAACAAAAAAAGGGAAAACAGGTGACAGGTAATGGACTCTCGTGTATATAGAGTCCGCGTAGTATGGTCCCCTGACCGCTAAATTAATTTTACTTCGCCCAGGGGACCCAGAAATGTGGGTGAAACTTCGTGTTGAATTTTTTGTTTTTTGTGGACTCAGTCCCCTCTTTTTGACTTTGTGTCAACAAGTTAATTAAAGCATTTTGACAACGATTCGTGTTTGCTTTGTTTACTTTCCTTCTTCTCCTTCCACCTTGGGTAATTTTCGGCTGAGTTTCACTCCAAGTGGCAATCAAAGTGTAGTAATTGAAAAAGTTTTAGCTGCTCAGGAAATGCCCCGAGTGTATTGCAATTTCTGTTGCGAATTAACTAAAAAAAAAATAAATAATTTAAACCATTGCACTTAACATTGTTCTTTCAAAGAGAAAACCTTAGCAAACAAAGACAAAAAGTATAAAAGAAATCGCAAATATTTAGACTAAATTATATGCTTCACAGTTCAGTTGAAGATTTTCGCAATCAAACTCAAGCAAAACGTGCCGGAAAATTGTCAAAGAAAATGGCTAAGGAAAAAGTTCTTCCTTAATGAATGCAGAATATTTTCTTCCCTTTTTGGATAGGGCGTGACCGAGCTAAATTATATTTTTTCGTGAGGTTTTTCGAACCTAATTAACCGTATAATATTTGAGAAATTTAAATGAATTTACATTGTTTATAAATGCAGAAAAAATACGACTTTAAGCTAACAGCTTTTTCTAGGAAAATATTTTCTTAGAACGAAGATTCTAAAGAAGATTTTTAAAATTAGCAACTTGTATTATTTTTATATATTTTTATATATATTGTGAATGATTTATAATTGTACAAATTACCAAAGCCATTGAACTATATTGTTTTAATTGAGAAATTAACTTTTAATGATATATAAAACCAATAGGTTTTTTAAGACCTGACAAAATTCACCCAAAAATTAAATATCTAATTTTTTCGAAGCTCTTAAAGATGAATAATGAATTTTCACATTTAATTATAGAAAAATCCTCACACTTTGCTCTTGTTTATACAAATTTCATAAAGTAAACAAAACTTTCCGCTCCCTTGGCTAACAAATTAGGCAGATCCTAGACATCATCTCCGACCAGCTCAACCGCAAGTGCCAAAAGTTCCCATGCAACTCATTTATATATGAATTTTTTTAGCGAAAAAGAAAACAATGAGGGAGCTGGATTTTCCGCCTGTATCCACGGCTAATGGCCTGCAAATCCGCTGTGAAAGAGTTAAGCCAGGCAGCCTCCTTTTAACCCCCTGCCATACTGGTTTTTTTTCTTAACCCCTGGCCGCCCACTTCGACGGCGGGTTCATACTTAATTAAATGAAACGGCGGCGGAGGCAATAAAAACCCGCTGCAGTACATGACAAAAAAATAATAATAATATTAAGAACGGGTAAGCCTAGGCAACCGTGGTTGAATGTTAACAAAAAGAAAGTTAAAGTTAACTTTAATGGAACCTATCAATTTATGGTTTAATAAAATAAAGAGAGCCATAAAATATTAAAAAAAAGTTTTTACTTTAAAGTTGTTTAAGGTTTTGTAGTTTTATTTAAAGTAATACTTTATAGGATAGGTTTAAATAATATTTTCTAAGTCGACAATTTAAAAAATTATGAATTGTGTTCATTTAAAATTTTTTGGAATCCTTTTTATTAAGAAAACATTGAAATCCGAGCTTCTGTAGCGTAAAACTTTATTTGTTTAATTAATTATTTTCTGATACCTTTTCAATAATATCATTATTTTGGAATATACATGATCTAGGACGCGATTTCGTTCGTTACAATCTCAAATATTGTATTTTAGAGACTTAAAAAATCATGAGTAGAACGTTTTATGTTTTTACCAAAAAATTCCTTACTTTTTGTCAGTCAAAAGGGAAAATAATAATAAATTCTATATTTCTTCTAAATAAAAAACCTATAATTATTTGTGACGTTTGGCATCACAGTACCAGCGAAAGATTAAGCCTTCTCGCAGAACAAAAAGCCCCAAGTATTAGTCGCCCAGTTATCTAACCGAGACTCCTTTGCCAACCGATGACATCCCCCGAACCAGATATCCTCCTGACACCCACTCCCTGCCAGGAGAACCGTTGCTCCACCACCTCCACCTCGTTCTCCTTCGCGGTCTTCACTTGGGGTGTTCTTGGGGTTCCTCACCGCGCTTGTTTGCGTGTTTATGTGCGCATTGTTTGCTTAAACACAAAGCGTCGCCCACGCGCGGAGGGAGGGTTGCAAAGGATCCCTGGCCTAGGTGGTAGTGATGGTAATTACCCTCATGTACATACATCTCCACTTGCTTACAGAGACGCCATCGACGGAAGACAACAACCCGCGTTTCTTAATCCCGAGGACAAGCCGAGAGAGAGGCTGTATATAGAGCATATATATATACAAGCATACCGTCATGAAGCCCGACATCCTGACACTGTGCATCCTGGCAACCGCGATCCTGGCCAGCGGGACGCGTCACGTAGCCGGCTTCCTCACCGCCTCCGCCCAGCAGTCGGGGCAACCAGGCGACATTCTCAAAGTGGAGGGTGGAGGCGACCGGGAACGGGACCTACTCCAGGGCAATGTTGTTGCATCAGCGCCGCAGCGTCTCCACTTGCCCCCCATCTTCGGACGACACGGACCGGCACCGCCATCGGATGTCCAGGATATTCAGAATGTCCAGGAGACGCAGGAGCGAGCTGTTTACGATCCCGGCGATGGTGAGTCGTAAACTTTCCGATTACCGCCAGCTCTTGCGAACTTAAGGGACTTGACTTGACCGAGATTTTGCAGCTAATCCTAGTGCATCCTTAAAGGACGCGAGGGATTTCCGTTCTTGGTTTAAAGTGCAGCATAAAAGCTTTTATTGGAAATGATAGAAAGAGTTTTTTACATTAATTTGAATGAATTCCTAATAAAACTATATTCTACAGCGTAAATTCGCACTTTTTCTTCTTATAGTTACACCTTTAACAATAGGAAGTCCCCCTAACTTTTAGCCATTGATTTTATTGTTAAATTTCCAATCCATTTACTCCCTGTATCAAATCACTCGGAAAACAAGACCAAAATCCGATACTGGAGAGTGAGGGGCTGCCTGTCGAGCGTCGAATCAAATTCATCAAAAAATAAAAAATATAAATGTGAAAGCAAATCACTGGACAGCGGTGGGCGTGTGTTAAGTGCTTGGCGCAAACACTGAATATATTTTGTGTGCATGGACAGCAATTTTGGTTGCCAAAGCCACTTGAAAAATTGTGCACTGACCGAAAATGTTTGGCCTAACCCCCCCCCCCATTGGATGTGCCGTGGGTGTGGTTACACGGCTAAGTGCACGCCATGTAGTGCCACCCTGGCTGAGTGTAGTAGGTCCACCCCATTTCTACGAAAGGGGTCGCCAAAAAGTCGGCAATGAAAACGGTTGCCAGTCAAAAAGGATTACGCGGCCGGTTGACTCTCCTCCACACTTAATTGTCTTTTCGATGGGGCTTTAGAAATTCAATAATTTTGGATTTGGAGTTAAAGTTACTTAAAAAATCCTCTCATAAATGTTTATTTATCATAAGGTACCAATTTATGAGAGTTGTCACAGAAATCACTGGGGATTTAAACTCTCTAAAAATACTTTAACTGCTTAAAAATCTATGGCTTTTTCTGCAGAGCTTGACTTGTGACATTTGTCAATGGCTTTTCGCTTCAAGAGGCCTGTTGACGTGACAAAAGCAAAGCGGCGGGCAGACTCTGCTGCTGCTGTCCTGCGGCTGCAGTGAGTCCTTTGACTGACGGGCATAAAAAAGGGAAGGCAGAAGGCAGAAGGGAGACGACCATGGAACGAATCTCCTGTAGCCACAAAACCCATTGCCGCCAGTCAATTTCCGCTCCCTTCAAAGAGAAGACAGCCAAGAGGGGAAAAATATTATGTTTAAGTAGACGGACAGACAGACAAACAAACTATTCAAACTTTCAAATATCAAACGGCGGAAGTTTGTCCCTCCTGGCGGAATAAGCTGGAAAATGGGACTTCTAGGGGGTATTTCTGTGGCCGGATTAGCACCGGTATTTTTTTCACTATAAACATTAAATTCGCAAATAATATCCTTTTGCATTTTGCTCATTTCACGGCAGAAATACTACGCGCCCAGGAACTGGGATTGGGAGTGCTGGGAGTTCCTCCGCCTCTGGCCACCGATTACGCCGACGCCGTTTACAACGAACTCCAGTTGACCAGCAACAAGTTCGAGGTTCTCAAGAAGATGGAGGAGGATTTACGGGCCGAGCAGGAACTGGTGGACAAATCCGCTTTGCTCATGAAAATGCTAGAGGTGAGTGGAGAAGCCAAAAGTTGAATTTCAAGGAGTGGGAAAAGCTGCAGATAGAGAAATTACTCGGGGAATATAACTAATATTTATACATCCTTATATTTGAATCTAATTTTTTAATAATCTTTTTATAAATAAAACCCCTATTCTTCTGCAGGATCCGTCTCTAGAAACTCTACCCCTCGTCTACGTGGAGGAAGAGGAACCGGAAGCCACCGGAGCCGAGGACTATGCTGACTTGGAGAACGCCGTTCAGGATTTGGTCTTGGGCCAGAGCAAGCCCAAGCGTTCGCGTTACTATCGCAGGTATCCCTGGAAGCGTCACAACAAGAATCGCGGGTAGGTTGCTCTCCGTTTCCATAAATCTTGCAGTATCCACACTCCACCACCCACTCCAAGTCCACTTTTCCCAAAACAGCACATTAATAATAACTAGAGAGTCCCTCCCGAACCTCAATTATCATTTGTAGTTTAGTGGATGTTGTCTGTAGTTCCTTCCCCACCCGCACAACGCAGCATTAAATCCTTAATCTAGGATATTTTTCGGAAAACCTCAAATTGCCAGGAAAAATTCAAGGGAATAATTTTATCTGCAACGAAAATAATTATCAAAGAAGTAAAATCCCATAGAAAACATTTTTATACCCTTCCGGGGTATTATAATTTCACTCCGAAACTTAACACGAAGTAAAGGAGTAAATTGCGACCCTATAAAGTATATATATTCTTGATCGGTATGAAAAGCTGAGTCAATCTGGCTATGTCCGGGTAAAATTTAATTTTTTCAAAATTTTGAAAATGTTATAAGGGGTTTCATGGTTAAAATTGTCAAAAAATGGAGAAAAAAATTTTAAATTTTTTACATTTCAAATGAAGTACGCAGATTTATAAAACTAATAAAAACTAGCCAAGAAAAGCTTTCCAAATTGAAATTAATGCATTTTTGGCTAAGTTATGAGGTTTTTAATCTTTGATTTGTCAAATAACTGTTATAAAAAATATCAATCCAAAGAATGCGATTTTATAATCTTAAATCCATTTCCGATGCTATCCCATAATTTAATTGCAAACTGTAATAGATAAAGGAAGGAAGGGATTTCGGAAAGCTTTAAATTAAGCCTTTCTCTGCTATTTAAAGCGTCTGGTTCCCAACCCTTCCTGGCAATTTGTGGAACATCCAAATGCAAAAATAACTCCCACCCAAAAGCCCTTAGTAGTCTGTAATACCTTGAATAATTTACATTAATAACCATAATGTAATGCATTTACAAAGAGTCTCTTTAGGCCCGAAAGACAGATACACCCTGAAATCCCCCCACAGAGACAGAGACAGAGAGAGAGAGAGAGATTGAATTTATATAGCCGAAACGTGAACGATTTTGCTAACTACATAACCATTACCATTATCAGTTCTTACATGAATTCTATCAACAGCAACTATGAACCGGAGCTGCGTTACGCCTGCACGCCCAGCAAGGAGGACATATTCAAGCTGCTGGTCAATCTCCACGAGAATCGCAAGGGGAATCACAGCAAGACGGTCAACTTCTGCAACCGTAAGCGTCCTGCCAAGGCTGTCTTCACCAACATACGCTTCCTGGGCTAAGGGATAGCCGAAGGACATTATTCCACACACAGAAACCACAGACACAGACACAGACACAGAGACAGACAGGACACTGCGACGGACTCACACACATATGTATACCAAGCCTCAATTGTACATTTGCTGACCAAGTCGAGCGCCAAAGAACACGAATTCTGGAGAACAACAAGCACTAACAATTAGCCTAAATTAACAAACTAATCCGGTGACTAAACTATCCCCTTTAGCTGAACGAAGTGAACTAAAAATAATTCCTGGTAATCTTTGTTGGCGGATGATAACTCTAATTGTAGACAATTAAAACTTTTATAACTCTCTCTCAATGTGTTGTATATAAAATAAACAAAGTTCCAGTAGTCCTCCCCATTTGTTTCGTTGTTGTCGTTGTCCTAATCCAGGAGTTAATTACCACAAAACGTTGCCATATCATTAGCAAAGTCTCGTAACGTCGTCTCTCTCGGTCCATGACATTAGAGTATTGCGCATCATGAAAGAAATGATTATAATTAATGGAGTTCTATATCAATGTGTATATACGAGAATATTAAAATAATCACTATAATATATATGTTTATTATCTACTTAATGAAAAGTATACCTATGTCTAATGTAAAGTCGGGAAATATATATAAATATTTCAAAATAAAATTATAAAATACGACATTTCTTGTGCAATTCAAATGGCGATTAAAGCGTTTTTCAATTGACACATTTAAGGGATTGGGAAAAGTAACCATTAATTGTTTTACTTAATTTCCTATAATGTCTCTTAAAACCAAAGTTCTACCAGACTTCTGATAAAACTGTACTAAAGCTCTTGTATAAGTCTACTTGCAACTAAAACTAAAGCTTTACTACATATCTATACTAATTATATTATCTCGAACTATATTGTTATAATATATTTATTTTCAGAAATATTTGAAGTTCATAGAACTCTCTTCCAGAACCTTTAGAAGCCATCTCCCAGTGTCTTGACTTTCCATTTCCACACCACAAATCGCCGTCTTTGTTAATCCCACATAAGTACGACGATTGTAGGAAACCAACAGAAACTAACACCTTTGGCAAGTGCGAAAGCTAGAGAATATATATAATATATCCATGACATTGAGATTGGGCTGTGGGCTTGGGCTTGGGCTTGGGATTGAGTTTGAATGGAACTGAGATTCCTCCAGCCAAGAGTGTGTATGAGTTTGTTTGCGGAGTCAACAATGTAACCATGTGGTTATCTCGTCTTGGAGAGCATCTATGCCTGGGTATGACGGATCCAGATAAGGGAGGGGATAACTAAGGTGGGGTCAAGGTGGAGGGCGAGAGGTGGGTACACTCGTGCCGGGAGCTGATAATGACCATGGAGCGTGTAACCAACCCGTTGGATGACTAAGCGCAGTGAAAAGGCCACTTTTTTTCTTCATTCTAATATATATATATATCATACGCTCAGTATGACGTCAACACAATTGCCGTAGATACAAAGATACAAAGATACAGAGGGCCTGAGACACGGAAATCATTGTCATCTTACAAAAAATATTCATCTATATTAAATAGGGATTTAATTTATTAAGAGTTCTCAAGGAGAAAAGTCATAGAAAGTCATGACAGGTTATTTTTAGCAAAATATTAAAGGTGTTTCTTTAAAGAATAATAAATAATATGAAAAAACTCAGGCAAATATTGAAAAATAAAATCAACTTCAATTTGTTATATTGTTTTCTTGCATTAAAAATGTCTTCTCAGACAATTAAATAAACTATTAAATTTTCTAGTTTTTGATTTTATTTGTTTATTACAAATGTCTTTTGCTAGCCGAAAATATTTGGGAACCAACTCCTCAGCGGCGAGAAGCACAGAGGCTTGGTCAGCCAAAGAGTGTCCACCGATAGCTTCAGTACCTCCATGTAATCAAAGGAGCAGCTGCTCTGCTCGAAGGCCTTGGTGACCACCGGTTTTGTGGGCTTGGTTTCCGTTGGAAGCTGTGCCTGCCCTGTGACCTTGTCCTCATCCTCATCGTTCTCCAAGGCGGAACGAGCAAAGGCCTCGTCGCCATCGAAATAGTAGAACTCCTTCCTGGTTGAGTTCGTCTCCACCACTCGTGAGGGCTGCTGTGAATCGATACCGCGGGCATAGGCTATCCTTCTGGCCTGGCGATAGGGAGTGGGACTAAAGGACACCGGATAGCCACTGAGATAGGCGCCACCGCCAGCCTGCATGGGCCAAAGATTCGGCTGTCCCAGCTGAGGAACTACACCTAGACCAGGCTGCGGCCACAAGCCCAAGCCTACTCCCAAGCCCAAGCCCCTTTGGGGCAACTGTGGCTGCTGTAGCTGAGGCTGGAGGCCCAATCCTAAGCCCGGTATAGCATCCTGGCGACAGCCGTCGGAGTCCTGATCCTGGAAAATCTCCAGCAGGAAGCCATTGGAGGTGGTGCTGCTCGATTGGCCAATCCGCATCCGCAGAGCCTTACGACCCTGAGCCCAATACGACTTGTGGACAAAGCCCGAGCGGCAGCCGCAGTAACGCTGGCCATCGACCTCCAGGAAATCACCATTGCAGGCTTGCTGCCCGCCAAAGCCACCACCGAAACCTGAGACTCCTCCTCCAAGGCCTCCTCCAAGGCCTCCTCCAAGTCCACCTCCTACACCTCCAAAGCCTGCACCAGAGACTCCTCCCACTCCTCCTGCATTCTGTCCAAAATCAAAGAACTTGAACTGTATCCTCAAACGACACACATTCGGTGAGCTCTTCTCTATATAGAAGACGCAGTCCCTCTGCTGATTGGGCAAAAGATAGTTGAAAACAGTCCTCGGGAAACCCGGACTAGATAGATAGAAGTGGTTCTGATTGAAGCTGCTGGCACAGCAGAGATCCAGCTGTCCACCAAACTGCTGCAGACTCTGGGAATCATAATCCTTGAGGGTCACTGCATGGGGTTGGAAGGAAGTGGTCTGATATTGGTCAGAGATTAGAGGCAGCTCCTGCTGAATGTTCGGTATGTTCTGGAGAGGGACTTGGAGTTGGACTTGCTGGGGATTCAGGAGTGGCTGAGGATTCACGAGCTGCTGCTGCAGGAGCTGTTGTTGCTGTTGAGGTCTCTGAAGTTGCAAGAGTTGCTGCTGCTGTTGCTGTAATAATAGCTGTTGCTGCTGTTGTTGCTGTTGAAGGAATTTCTGTTGCTCTTGGAACTGCACCTGTTGCTGGGAAGGAGCACAGGGTGGCGCCTGCTGCGGAGGATAAAAGCCAGCGGGATATCCAAGACGCTGAGGCAAGCTAAACGGAAAGCCCCAGGGATTTGTTGTTTGCTGTGTGAAGTTCAATAATTGTTGGGGACTCTGCTGTTGCTGCTGCTGAGGATGCAACAGATGATGGTGCTTCTTTGGCGGCGACTTGGAGTTCACCTGCACGGTATCCCCATCCACAATCTCCTCGTCATCATCATCCACCAGACCCCTGGCCACCAAATCCTCCCTTTCGCAGGCCAGACGAGTGATGAGCAGCCGAAAGCCCCCGTTCGTTGTCCATGGAGAGTCGTCGCTGAGGAAGCGCAGACGCAGGACACCATCCGGAGTGTGATACTTCTTTATGCCCAATACTTGGCCGCACAGGACATCCATGTCATCACCATCATTGTCCAGGCCAATGGCCAAATAATCCCGACTGCAATTCTCCGAGAGCTCCAGCTTGAAGTCGAGGAACTGGATGTGGAACTTTGTGGGACACCGGTAGGGAGATCGCACCACATAGTCCCAGCAGGTGTTCACCGGATAGTTGTCCGGGTAATTGGGGGATTCGATGAGACTCTGTCGCTGCCGGTAGACGCCGTGAAGGCCACACTGGGCCAGGTCATCGTGGACGGCACCCAGTGATCCCTGTGCCAGGACCACGACAAGAAGGAGGATTCCCCATAGCTCCATTACGATATATCCGTTCCGTCCGTTAACTCGGCGATCACAGCGACAACTAACTCGCCGATGTTTGCCAGTCAGAAAAATATTAATAATATTTTACATACAGGGCGTTGCTTTGCGTTTCACTCGAAGACAATTTGCGACTTTTGTTTGTTTCGCTTCTTCTGAGACCGCCCATTCATAAGTTCCCCGCGCAGTTTTTTAGTTCAGTGAACCGCTTCAGGTGGACAGCAGGTTTTTCTTTCTTCTGAAGGTGCCAAAAGCTTCATAAAACCTAAAGTCCATTAGGTAAAAAAATGAAATAAATAAATAAACAAAAAATATCACAGCATTCCGACGCTCGCGGAAAATCTAGATAGTGAATCATTCCCTTTTTCGGGGTTCTCTATTCGGGTTTATGATCCACCATCATATGGTTATAAAATAGTTTATCATATCAGTAGAACATAATACCAGCTAAGATAGTTCTATAAATTTTTATGAAGTGCAGTAAAAGTAGTTTATTATTCTTTTCTTATTTAATTGCTTAAGTATCAATCATTTTTGCAGTGTTTTTGAATGATTTGAATGCATACTTAATTAATTATAGTAATATTTAACAAGTTTATAAAGTGGCAGTAACACTATTTTTTATTATTAAATGTTGTTGCATGAGTAATAAATAAATAAAATGTAACTTTCGCTTAGCAAACAAGGAGGCCTCATTTCCTCATGCGCTCAGTTTAATCTTAAATAAATAAAGCCAAAAATAAAAGGAACTTACGTAACTTACAAAACAAAGATATAAACAAATGTTTGGACCCGTGGGAGTGCATCTTCCATGTGAGGCGGCATAACCCCAAGACAAATAAAACAACAAAACCGCAAGCGTGTCAAGCAAATAAACACCTCTTTAAAAAAAATGTATTATCTGCTGCCAAAGTTTGTTTTGGCTCAAAAAGAGCCTTATCTTTAAGCCAAGTCCGAGTATAAGTGCAACAATAATTTTAAAAGACGTTTTAACGCGAAATTAAGATTATTTCTTACCCCCAACAACAGGCATATCTTAAATGTGTCTCGAAATTCAGAAGCTGGATTAACATTAACTTAATTCAGGGGCATTTCGTGTTTCAACAGATTTTAAAGTTATGAAATAATTATTAATAAAAAAAGGAAGCTAACTTCGAGAAACCGAAGTATGTATACCATTGCAGTTACCCAAAGAATCACGGATTTGAGTGTAATGCCATAAAGACATTAATTTCAATTTGAAAGCTTTTCTGTATTTGCTTTTATTAAAATAATAGCATATTGAACTTTAATTTAAATATTAATTTAATTTTATGAATTTTTGACAATTTCTCTGATGCTATCCCTTAAAATACTTAAAAAATTTAGTTAAGTTTTGTCTATATTTTGTTAAAACGATTTATTCTTCATGAATTAAGATTTGACATTTAGCAAACTCTGGCTTTTTGCCCCTCGTATACCTATAAGAAAAGTTAAAATATCTGTATTCTATGTACATATATTAAATTGATACTTGTATATGCCATTTTTTTGGGCAAATCTAAATTTTTCAAATATCATAACTAAGCGAAAAATGCATTAATTTCAATTCGGAAAGCTGTTTTATGCTAGTTTTTATAGAGCTAACAAATCTGCCTATAAAGTTTTAAAATTTAAGAAAAATTAAATTTTGTCAAATTTTGACAAGCTAAAAACATAAAATTTAATTACAAAATTTTGAAAAAAAAATTAAAAAAAAAATTTTCTACCAGACATTACTAGAACGATTCGTCTGTACATTCTGATCAAGAATACATATGATTTATAGGGTCGGAAATGACTCCTTCACTTTCTTTTAAGCTTCTGACTGATAGTGCAATACCATTATTTAATCGATATTAATTATATTTTTATATAAAAATTACACAACAAATCAAAATTTAAAAACTCCATAACTTAGCCAAAAATGCATAAATTTCAATTCGGAAAGCTGTTCTGCGCTAGTTTTTATAGGGCTAACAAATCTGCATACTGAGTTTTAAAATTAACAAAATATACAATTTTGTCAAATTTTGACAAGCTAAAAATATAAAATTTAATAAGAAAATATTAGACAAAAATCGAATTTTTTTTCTACCAGACATGACTAGGTCGGACTTATAGGGTCGGAAATGACTCCTTCACATCGTTACAAGCTTCTGAGTCAAACTATAATACCATTATTTAGTCGATATTAATTATATTTTTTGATGATAATTTGTTAAAAAAAATCAATTAGACTGGTTACTGTATCATCGAAGTAAGCTTCTTCCTGTTTATCCAGATATGTATATTGCATTGATCATTTGATATTTTAAGGGTCGAAGAGCAATCCTATCACTAACACTATCGATATAAGCAGTGGGAAGGCCGGAGCAAAATGAGGTCAGTGCAACGAGAGTGTCTGTATTTATAGCCTCCGAGTAAACATGAGAACAGAAAAAGAGAGAGCGAGAGGGAAACAGATATCTCTAGAGATAGGCAGAGAGATGTTGAGAGATAGAGAGGTATCTCTAGAGATACAGAGAGAGAGAGAGAGGCAGAAAAAAGAGAGTTATATAATAGAATTAAAATAATAAATAGCTAATATGATTAGCCCTTTAATTTAATCTATAATATATACAAACTGAACCATCTTCGCAACCCGTTCATATTATTTAAGCAACAAGTGAAATAAAATTTTTCTTCTTAATATAAATAATAAATCCACCCCACGCTTATCTTTTTTCAAAAATAATGCAAAACAAAATTAAGAAGCAGGTGAAATGTAAACAAGAGATAGAGAGATGCAAACTTCTGGAGATAGATAGGACTCCTGACCTTGGCATCGCATTGAGTCATTATCATATATTTACCAAATTATTAGAATCATAAACTAAGCAGCGCAAGACTCCAAGTAAGATATATGGCTTCTGCGAAAAGCTGGCGCTGGCGAAATTCCTTAATCACTTTTACACCCCGAGATTTCGTCAGGTATAAAAAGCGGGAGTGGATCCAGAGTGGTCATCAGTAGCTCACAGAGAGAGTAACAACTGCATTCAGTATGTTTGCCACGCCCCTCAGACAACAGACCACCAGTGCGGTAAACCAGAGCCAGGGAAAGGCGACGCATATCGGTATGGATGGCCACGGCAAGCCGTATCAGTACGAGATCACCGACCATGGCTATGGCAAGGATTCGGTTAAGGTGCTCCATGTGAGTCGCGAGGGACCCGTTCACACCATCCAGGAGTTCGAAGTAGGCACTCACCTGAAGCTGTACAGCAAGAAGGACTACTACCAGGGCAACAACTCGGACATTGTGGCCACGGACTCGCAAAAGAACACGGTGTACCTGCTGGCTAAAAAGCATGGCGTTGAGAGTCCCGAGAAGTTCGCTCTGCTGCTGGCCAAGCACTTTATCAACAAGTACTCCCATGTGGAGGAGGCACACGTTCATGTGGAGGCCTATCCGTGGCAGCGGGTCTGCCAGGAGGAGACCAGGACGGTCACCAATGGTCAGGACCAGGCTCAGGGCAGGTCAAACCAGGCGAGCTGCAACTTTAGCTCGATCGACAATCGATCGCTGCACAACCACGCCTTCGTCTTTACGCCCACAGCTCAGCACTACTGTGACGTAGTCATGAGGCGGACAGGTGAGTTAAGGGCGAAACTTCTCTCTGAGATAACAGCAACATAAAATAGAATACCCCCTGCAGATCCCAAACAAACCGTCATCACTGGCATCAAGGGTCTCCGGGTGCTGAAGACAACACAATCTTCGTTCGTGAACTTTGTCAACGATGAGTTCCGATCCCTGCCGGATCAGTATGATCGGATATTCAGCACTGTGGTGGACTGTTCCTGGGAGTATTCCGATACTGACACCGTGGACTTCTCACGGGCCTGGCAAACGGTCAAGAATATCATCATTCGCAACTTTGCCGGTGATCCCCAGGTGGGCGTATCCTCGCCCTCCGTCCAGCACACTCTGTATCTGAGTGAGAGGCAGGTCCTCGATGTCTTGCCGCAGGTGTCGGTCATCTCGATGACCATGCCAAATAAGCATTACTTCAACTTCGACACAAAGCCGTTCCAGCAGATCGTGCCGGGGGATAACAACGAGGTCTTCATCCCGGTGGACAAGCCACATGGCACCATCTACGCTCAGTTGGCACGTAAAAATATTAACAGTCACCTTTAGGTCTCAACAAATTTAGGCAATTTTAAATTAATTCACTCTTGCTATTGCATATATGTATCTCTGATATCAATCAATCAGAATAAATAAAGTTTAGCTCATGGCAATATTATGATTTGATCCTAGCGACGGGAATATCAATTAGTCTGTAAAAATATTTATTTCATAGATTTGAGGTTTAAGGCTTTGAATATATATCACATAAGTAGTATAGTAAGGGTGTTTTAAATGTAAGTCGAGCCTCGAGTGGAACAACCAAATACGAATCTTTCTGTTCAGTTAAGTGAGGAGTACATATACCTCAGACAAGCATTACTTTAAAATATTCAATAATCTGCTCGTAAATCTCGCTTTCCATCCCCAGAATGAGACAATCAAACTCACAATTAAGGTCGACTTTAAGCAGCGGATCCACGGAAGTCGATTCTACGGTGTCAATGCTCGGTTTAAGCTTCAGAGCGCTCATAAGGCTCATCGCCTTATCCTTGGTGTTCCGATACTTATCCGAACGGATGACCTCAAAGGCCGCCTCCTTTAATTCAGGGCAGAAATTCTTGAAGTAGTTGTGGCGATCGCAGAGGGGCACAGCCTTCTTATTCACGCTTTCGGTTTTTCCAAGATTTTTGAAGGTATTGAAAGTCTTCTTGCTCTCCAAAGTCATGTTCTCGAAAGCAGCAGTCATCTCGTCAGTGATTACGCTCAGCACTTTACCGGCCGCCTGTTGGCGGGCATACTTCTTCTTGTCCGACTTACCGTAGCAGACAACCGCACCTACTGAGCAACGGATCACGAATTCCGGGGCATCGCAAGAGCGTTTCTGCTCCACATCCTTGGTGATGGGCGCTGGCATTCCATAGAGGCTGCAGTAGTCGCGCAGCTCCCTCAACATGTCCCGGTTCAAATTCTGGATCTCCGTGCTGACCTCAGGAGCTTCGCAGAGTTTGCGCCAGATATTCTCGGCAGCCATGTGTTTGGCTTCGCGCTTGTTGGGTCCTAAAATATGTTTCATATTTCCGTTAAGTTAATATGGCTGAGAAAGTGAAAATTTAATTTATTTTACCATTTCCAGAGGATTCCATTTCCACCGCAGTCACTTTGCAGATATAGTCGCCTTCTCGGCCGATGGCGAATTCGTAAATGGGCAGATTCTTTCCAGACTTGGAGCAGAACTCCTGCAGAGCGCACACAGCTTGTTTGTTTTCCATCGGGATTATTTCTAAAGGGTTAAAAAGAACGTGACTTCCAATTGATATTTTTTAGAAAAAGTTTATGTGTACCGTTTCGTACAACAATTCGGAAAAAGTAAAAAAACAAAGCCTACTTTTAGAAACGATTTCGATTGATTTAAAACACACTTTTCTTACCAACACTTAAATTCCACATGGTTTAAAGTATAAACAGTTACGACCAAGTTGGCTTTCAAAATTTGTCAGAATAACCTTCTCAATATCTCAACATGTACCAGAGATTGTCGACCAAATTTAAGGATCTTTGCTTTTAATACATTTTGGCCATCAAAATTTGTTTTCCAAATTAATAAGTTCCTATAGAGAATCATCCGCAAGAGGTTAAGCAACATGACACAGCGACTGGCTTTGCATCACATCCTGACCACCCAACTGGCCAAAAACTGGGAGCGAGAAGATTTGGCCAAGGCAAGGCTCGCGAAGCTAAGCGGTCGGAAGGACAAAGTGAAGCCTTCACTAAGATCGATCCATGTGCCGGCTCGCTACAACGCCATGATGCCCGACACGCGCAAGACATACGACAGCATGGTGGAAAGAATTCATCAGACCATGCAGGGTAAGTTCTTCCCTTTTTCATTATATAAATATATTATAAAGAACTTATATTTAATTGTAAAGAACTTTATGTTCATATTTTACTTACCCATTCTTAATTAATTCGCAATTGCCTCTCCAGAGGTAAGACCCAAACGGAGACCGTTACCAGTAGTGGCATTGCCTGTTCCTGCGCTTCCGGCTGGATCTTCCACAGAGGTGCCACCACTGCCATCCACACTCGTGCCTAAGCATTATTCCAAGCCCATCAGATCCGGTCGAGTCAAGGGCGGTGCCAGCCAATCGAAGGCCCATAGCTCCTGCTCCAGGGGCAACCACAAGCCCTTGGGCTTAATCCGGGCCGGCTTGAACCTGAAGGTACAGCGAGCAAAAAGTGGAGATGGAGAAGCCAGAAACCCTAAGGGTTTTGCAGTACAGAAGCACATGAATGAGGTCATCCGGCAGAAGAACGTGCTGGAATCGATGCTAATGCAGCACAAGCGACTCCGCCAAGACCGCCAGACCATTGTCTTGGACATGCAGCGGATGCGTGCGGATCTAGACAGGATTTGCAACAAACTGGACCTCTCTCTGAAAGGGTTGAACTCCACGCGCACTCTCTGCAGCGCCGCACCATCGATGGTAAAGGAATCCATTCAGAAAAAGACTTTGAACACCGCCGGGGTCCGTCCCAAAGCCAAAGCTACTCCCATTTTGACGAATAAGATCCGGAAGAGTGGCACACAGAAGATGACAACGCCCAGCGTTGTGGTCCGTCGCTCTGGCATTCTCAAGGCCAAAACCAATCCCATTCTTAGGAACCGGTAGCTTTAGCACGCCCATTAGGCCTTTACGCTCAATCCACAAATAACTTTTGCTAGTAAAATAAAATTTAAATTTTATAATATTGATAAACAGCAGAGCGTTGCCGATAATAGTGTTGAAGAACGATTTGATATGGTTCCCAAATATTCGATATATCGATACTATCGTTATCGGTAACCCATACTTATCAAAACGAATGTATATTAATACAAAAAATCTTTTTTTTACCGTAGTACTAATAAAAAAAGAATTTTTAAACATCCATAGGTGAAAAAAAATGTTTTGAAAACAATATTTGTGCTCGCTCATGAGAGAATTCTGTTACGCTCTCTCTGTTTTACTTCCTACATGAGAATTCTACACGTGTACTGTGTTAATTGTTAAATAACAAATATAATTCTCACAACATCGATAGTGGAAAATCAATCGATGTTTTGAAAACTATATCCAAACATACATACATCGATACATATCGATATCTTCTTGCTCTGGCGTCTGTTTTTCCACTTTTTTGTTTTTCGTTTATTTATGTATATTTGCCACCGTTCCGCCTAATTTTTAAACAACTTGGAGCCAAAGATGGGCTCCTCCAAGAAGCACAAAAAGAACAAGTCGGAGCGTCGCGAGAAATATGAGGGTAAGCGGCAAATAAAAGTGGCTGCGTCTACGTGCGGTCCCCCCTGTGAAGCGCCATCTCGCTCTAGCCGCTTTTGCCGCTTGTTGTTGAGCATGTGTGCACTGGAAGAAAAGAGAAGCGCCTTGTTTTTGTTTATTTCTTCTAATCAGGATTATTATTAATGCAGAATACAGCCAGCACCAGGATCCGGCTCAGCTGCAGCGAGGCCTGAAGCTGATCCTCAAGGTGGGTTCGAATAACACGCCCGAGTACAGTGCCAATTCGCCAATGGTGGACGGTGGACCGCCCACAGCTGCCGAGGCCATGATGTCCCCTGTTCCCGAGGAGGAGCTGCAGGACCAGCAGCAGCAGCAGGGCCATCGGGAGCGACACAAAAAGTCAAAGAAAAAGAAGAAGAAGAAAGATCGTGATCGGGAGAAGAAACACAAGCATCATAAGGAGAAGCGTCACAGAAGCCGGGATCGTCATCGGTCGGCAGATGACGACGATTTGGTGCTGCCGGGTGCCGATGATGCCGCCTGCAGTGGCTTTGCACCGCCTTCGGTGGCGCCACCTCCGGCTGCCATCGATGCCGATTCTAGTCAGGATGGCTTCAGCTTTATGGACGATGACGACCAGTCTCAGCCGCTGCCGGAGAATATCCTGTTCTATGCTGGAATTACCACGGATAACTCACCGTCCAATTGTCCAGTGACGAAGCCCATAGCACCGCGCAAGCTGGACGACATTCTGATGGGTGGTGACTCGTCTTCGCTGCAATCCTCATCGCAGCTGGGTTTGGGCGGCAGCAGCAGTCCCACCAAGCCACTGCCAGACGTAAGTTACTGGATAATTTTGAGGAGAACATGAAAATAAATCAAAGCTCTTTTTTCCTTCGCCAGCTACTTATACCATCACCATCGACGCCTGGCGGTACCAACTCTCTAAATGCCTTAACACCTAAGGGAGCTCTGGAGGCGCCTAAGACCCCGAGTAGTTGCAGTGAGTCCGGCCGGGAGCCCCGGAGCTGTGTCCTCAAGCTAAAGCAACAGAAATCTCCATTAAACAAGCTGCTGGAGCATCTTTTGCGTTTCCTAGAGAAGCGGGATCCGCATCAGTTCTTTGCCTGGCCCGTCACCGATGATATGGCGCCCGGGTACTCCTCCATTATACACAAGCCCATGGACTTTTCAACGATGCGTCAGAAGATTGATGATCACGAATATGGCGCGTTGACGGAATTCAGCGATGACTTTAAGCTGATGTGCGAGAATGCCATTAAGTATAACCATGTGGATACGGTATATAATAAGGCAGCCAAGCGATTGCTTCAAGTGGGCATGAAGCATCTGCAGCCGGAGAATCTAATGCGAAGCCTCAAGCCTCTGTCCGGTTATATGAGGGAGCTGACCGCTAAAGAACTCGGCTTCGAGTTAAGTACCAATGATATGTCACGGGAAACTCACGATTCGGCGGATGAGGGAGCTTCAACGGGAGCCGAGGAGCTGCCGACTCCCGCCCAGTTGGAGGAGGAGGAACGCAAACGGACGCTACGCCTGGCGAATACACCGAAAACTCATTTTGAGCCCTATGTCGATGATTTGACAGGCGAGGAGATCCTGGCACAAGTGCAAAATGCCGCCCAACAGGCCAAGCATCGAGTGAACGCCAAAAGAAACGCCCACAAGATGGGCTTCCTGCGACAGGGAAAGGATGGCAGTACCACGCTGAATCTCTTGACCAAAGAGGAGAACGATGGGCCCGAGAGGGTGGTGACCATCGGCGATCTGGTTGGCAAACTGCAAACGGGCAGCACTCAGCTACAGGTGCGGCAGGTGGACAAACGGAATGCCATGAAGACAGTGAAACCTCTCAGCTACGGAGCCTTTGCCAGCTTTGCACCCACTTTCGATTCACGCTTCTCCACCCTGAGCGCTGAGGAGACGCAATTGGTTCTGCGTACGTATGGGGATGCCTCCAGTGCTGAGTACGCGGAGAGCATCTTGCAGTTTACCAAGGACTCGACCTTTGGCACGACCATAGCGAACGGTTTGCTGGACATTCTTACCAACGGGGAGCACAGCAAATCTCTGGAGGAGCTCTACAACATGCAGCTGCACTCTTACGAGCAACGAGAAATTGAGAAGTGCTTTGAGCCCGCGGCGGAGGCCGCAGAAACCCCCGAGCAAATCGAACAGGAGTACGAGAAATACAAAAATACCCAGGTGGACTTTAAGGGTCTGCACTCACTCAAGGATTTGGGCATCGATGTCAGCTTCTTGGACGGCATGGAAACGGAAATGAAGAACTTTGAGTTGAATCGCCGCATGCACGAACATCTCAGTCAAAATCTGACGTTGATTGAGAAGCTCCGGGTCACGCAACACGATCGTCTGTCGCAGCCCCTGCCGAATCACCTCGGCCTGGTGCCGGCTGCTGGCCAGGAGGAGGCACAAACCGCCCAGCAGTTGACCCAGCAAATTAGTGACCTAGCCAAGAAGCTGCCGCCATCTGCGATTGCCGATCCTTATGCGCTGCGCAAGGCCATGGGCATGTCCTACGGTATGTCTAGTTTCCTATTCTTCGTTTCCTTTAAATTAATTACATTTGATTTCAGCTGGCTTGCCTCCACCACGTCCAGCCTCGCCACGTGTCCAGCTGCCAGAACTGCTGCAACAGCCAGTGGCCATGCCCCAGTTGCAGCAGCCGGTGGTGGCCATGGAGATTGATGACGATCAGCCGGATGAGCAGCCAGGGGGCGGTGGTGATCTGGAGAATGAGTTGCGCGAGTTCCTTGAGAGCGGCTCTGGTCTGCACGCGGCAGTGAATCCGGCGGATGACAACAGCATTGTGGCCCAGCTGCTGCTCAACTAAGGGCAGATGCCACCCAAGACGCGCGCTATGTTTATAATGTAAGATAATGACAATTTTGCTAAATTATTTTCATACATATATCCCAAAACATGGCAGTTGCACACTCTGAATAAAACCTAAGGAAAGGAAACTAAAGTAAAAATATCGTAAATCTTTATACATTGAATTTTTAAATATCCAAAAACTTCGCTTATTCGTATTAATTTATTTGTGTTTCCTTTTCCGATTGTATTGGTCCTATATATCAAACCATACTATCTATTTATCCCACACATATCACAAAGTTTAAATGTCATCTATAAGTTATTGATATTGATCAGTTGAGATCGTCGATTCTCCACAATTTCAATAACCTTTTATAGATAGTGATTAGGTTGAGCGCTCGCACACTGAGAGTTAACTTTTATTTAATTTCCTTTTCTCTAATTTCTTATGAAACACAATCTTTACCTCTTCTTTAACATTAACAAATATATATATTTAGTTTTTCAATTTCGAACTTAAGCCTAAACACACACTTTTCGACTCTGACTTAACAACTTAGGTAACATGAGTTTTTAAGTTTAAACATACACAAAAACGGTTGAGTTATCGCGCCGATAAGCTAAACTCCTTCCCCGTTTTCCGTGGGCTTGGCCGGCTCCGTGTCAGCCTCAGCCTCAGCCTCAGGCTTAGCTTCAGCCTCATCGACACCTACAGGTTCCACCTCAACTTGAACCTCCTGCAGCTCCTGTTCGGCGTTGGCGGTTGACGGTTTGGTGATCTACAGAAATAGTTACAATACAATGGGCGGTACAGTCAGCATAGCCTTGCAATTATCATAGTTATACGTTTCCATTCTTCAGGCACATAATACTTATCAGGTTACCATGCAGTTAACATGCAGCTGTCTATTATTAGATTAATACATCTGCGTAGATTGAGCTCAGCATGCGCGTAACCTAGAGTTAAGTACGATTTAAGTCTTAATCTAAGGATTAGTATTAGGAATATATATCATAATATCTTCGTATGGACTTTACCATATTAGAAACCGCATGAAGGGCGAGGGTTTCGAGTATCGGTTTAGTGTTTTTTTGTGACTTAGAACCTAGATTTTGGAACCCATTTATATATATATTTCTACTATATATCACAAGATGGTTTTGATTTTGATTTAGTTTTTGGTTGTCCCCGTTTTGTTTGTTTTTGATGTGATTTTTTTGTTAGTTGGTGTGATTTCGTTTTAGTTTCAATGGCTTTTCAACGGTTTGATTTTGTTATTATTCTGTAAAAGTTGTTGAGTTAAATCGGAGCCCAATTGGCTGCCAGTCGGTCTTACTTTGAAGCAGCGAATGTGGAAGTGATCGCACATCTCAGATACCTGCAAGTAATTACCATTTTTAAGTTAATTGAGCAGGACATATATTTCTATGTGATGTTCAGTATAACTTACCACTCCAAAGCCATAGTGCCAGTGAGCTAACGTTGAAAATATGGTCAGACCATAGAGTATCCATAGCTCAATGTCCAAGGGGAGATCCGTTTCGAACACTGTCTCGTAGTAGGGGAAACAGCACACAGCAACGGTGGCGGCCAGGGGCCACATCAGCACATTGAAGCCATCGCATCGCGTGTCCGACATTTGGGCCACAATCAGGCGGCACTTTGAGAAGGACGCATTAAATTATTAACTATAATTCAAATATCAAAATAAGACATACAGCAATATTGGAGAATATTGTTCCGTAGAGAATCCAAAGTATACGCGGCGAATGGTTAATCACATCATTCCTTGAGAAGAACGACCAGATCAAAGTAATCACAAAGAGCCAAAGAAAGGCAAAGAAGGGGCGCAGCATCTCCCACATGGGTCGCATTTTGCCCGTCTTGTTTTTATAAGACCTAAAAGAAACCACATATTTCTCTTAAATTCTCTTAAATATACCTTAAAGCCAAGATTGGCATACTCACAGATAGATATTTCTAGCTATAATGGGATGACTGCTGACCATACCGGAGCCAATCAGAACCACCTCGAACACATTGGCGACCGTGAAACCATACATGCTGAAGCGGTAGATCCCTGGACCAAAAACAGTGGCCACAAACAGCATGCCACTGACGCCCTAATATCGCAAATAAATGAATTAATTTAAAAAATTAATTACAAATTTTAAGTGAAACTATTTCCGTGACTCACCCACATGGTGAAGTCATAGCCCCAGGGCAGAAACATAACTCCCGTGTTGTACTTCTCCACATGCGTCAAGTAGAAGTTGAGGAACACGTTCCAAATCACAAAGAACATACGGATTGGTGGCAGATCTGCCGTCCCGAATAGGGAGAATATATAGATGGGTATCAGAGCCGCCGAATAGGAGTCCAATCCATGATCAAAGAGTTCCCCCAAGGGTCCACTCGTCCCAGTCCTTCGTGCCTGCTTGCCATCCATGCCATCTGAGAGACGCAAACTCTATATATTTCAAGGACCTCGCAATGCCTCCTTAACTCACCCAAATTATAGTAAATCAGTATATTGATGGCCGCCACTGTCCAGACCCAGGCTGGTACCGTGTTGCCCTTCTCCAAATCGTTGGCCGCCTCAAAGCGCCAATCGTAGTGGGCTATCAGGATAAAGTTGATCACAGTCATGAGAAAGCCCACGAAGGTCAGTACGTTGGGTGCCAGCCATTTCGGAACAAACTAAGGTTAATTATTGGTAGTTGAAATTAATCTGAATGTAATGAAATATTAATATCCTTATTGTTACCTTCACGCAATAGTTCCAGAAAGGGTGCATCACATAGACACTGAGGAAGCTCGTGTCTATGCTGCTGTACTGGGGGGAAGAAATTAACAGAGGTATTGATTAGTGAGAAAGTTCCATAGGGGTGGTCTATTTACATTTAGTTTGATTGTCTCTCATTTGGGGAAAATTAATTGAAAAGGTAATAAATTTCATATCAGACTTTTCCAAGAAGATAAAACGAACCATGATGTATGATACACTAGCCTAACTACATTTTATACAAATTCTTGTCTAAAAAAATACATTATAATTTGATAATGCTAACACACCGTAAAATTTTCAAATTTCATTAATTACACCAAAGAGTTTATTTAAATTTGTTTGTATGATTGAAAGTGAAATTCGTATGCTCTAGCTGATAAAGATTTGAATTTGATAAGATTGCAATGTATAGTTAGCCTCGGATCCTTGAAATTCCGTAATAGCCACCAACTTTAAAGTTAAGTAGATGTTTAGCAAGTTCCCTCTGTTACTTCTAATTGTCTCTATCCATGTCTCTGTGTAATCTTTACAAGTACAAATTCCACTTTTGATAGTCACAACCCCATTCCACTGGTTCACCAAATCCCATCCCGGCACTATCTATCCATCTGTCACATATATTTCTATATATACATAAGACCGAGGCTTCAGCACATTGTAGCTCTCCATTGACAGTTCAATGCCTCCTCATCCTCTTCCTTACGTTTGCGAAACATTTGTTTGCTTGAAACTTGCTTGGTTATCACCTAATTGATGACCCACAGGCGGTAGTAATACATTATAATTTTGATAGTACAAATTTCGACACATTCCGAACCCACTTGAATTGTACTAACCGGAACTAGAGTGAGTTGTGAGTGCGATTAGCTATCTGTCTATTACAGAGAAAGAAATGTCTGCGGGCAGCCAGACACGTTAGCACAGCCATATCTTATCTTAGTAAAATCGATAACAAATAACACAATGTTGTTTTGAATAATGGAAACTCTTTTGTTTAGTATATATCCTGAACATTTATTTGATTTATATATTTATGAATAGAGTTCCCAAAGAATTTTCTGCGCACTCTTAAAGGTAGAACCTTTTTCTTTATTGGAAAATAGTTTCCTTGAAAACTCCTAAAACTTCCAATTAAAGTTGTTTCAAATTCAAAAATGCATATGAAATTGTTTAAATCACTTAATGGGAGATTTCGTACCCCTTGCTGTATAGTTAACATTCAATAACAATTAAATGGGAGTGAGTACTGCGAAGGAAGAACTTCAGAAACTTTAAAATTGAACTTGTTTAAGTTATTGAAAAATCGAAAATTTCATGAAAATGGTTTAAAATCGATGACAGAAATTTCCTACTCCTTGCTCTATAGTTAAAATTCAATAACAATTGATGGGTTGTATCGGCGTAGGAGGGAACTTTCCGAATAGGACATTGATTTTCAATGGTGACCCTCAGCTTGGGGTTTAAAGCCCACCCATGCCCCTCCTCTGGGGGAAAGAACCACTCACCTTGTAGCGCTCGAAGCCCCGCAAATGAGCGTCGGACAGATAGCGCATGCAACCCATTTTGTTGATTTGTTTTTTGAATATTTCCCAATATGCTATTTGTAATACGTTCGGTTCGCTGTTCCACTTGTTAGTTACTTTGTCAGTACAAATGTGATAAGGGAACTCTCTCTCGCTCGGAGTTTGCACTTGGATCGAATCCCGGGACTATCGCGTATCGGCGGGCTTGACCTTTGAATGGGTCAGATGGTTACTACTCCCGGCATTATTGTATAACATCTACGGATCAACACACCGAATATGCGACTGTGTATATGATTTTCCCGCCTTCTGTTCCGTTCACTCGCGGCGGCCCGTCGAATGACAGTAAATTAAATAATCGCCGCAGCACGCAAGCTGCCGTTACTTTGGCGAAGAGCAGGAGGCGGAAGAAAAACCCGGGACGGAGACGGTGACGGAGACTGAGACTGAGACACGCAGAGTCACACAGAGAGACAGAGCCCAGAAGAAGGAGGAGTATTCCGGACGCGCCGGCGGCTGAACGGGAACTGCGGACTTATCAGCCGCTGAAGAGCTCAGGCGCTTAATTCGGGACGCCGACTGCGTCGACTTGGGTTCCACAAAAACAAATCCCAGTGCGCACAGCAGCAGTGCTGGCAATCTGGCGGCATCAACGGAGCCGGATCCGGGCTTTCTTCGTCGTCCCTCAATTTGTCTTTGTGTTTTCAATATATTTATTTATTATTTATAGCAGCTTCTCTGTTTAATTATCAAACATCTGCTTACATTCCATAAATAAGTTGATGAAAAGTGACTGATAACACTGGAAACTTGGTTTATTTCCAGGTTCTGTTTGGATTATAAGCTATTTGAAATAAAACTAAATAAATTCTGTTTTAAAAATTTCTTTAGAAAATGTCCAAAGTTATTCAAAAAATCTCTGCAACATAAAAAGAAACATATATCTCGAATTTAGTACCTTGAATATTTTATTGCAAATTTTTAAATGAATTTTCAATAATATAATAATGTATATTTACCATTCCTTCTGAATTTGAACCTTATTGAATTCTTCTAAAGGTGTTTAAGATTTCTACAAATTTTTCTTTTCAAATATACACTAAATTTGGATCTTACAGAACTGTACCCATGTTCCTCTTAAAGTAGTTTCTGATCAACTTTCTTACCTTACCTTTCTTACTTTACTTTAGTTAGAATAGTAACTTGGGCATCACTAAGGCACACACTCTTATCACAATGAGAGATTGTGTGTTCGTGTGCATGTACTATAATTCTTTTTTTTTGCATTGAATGAATGTGAATTGAAATTTGTAAAAAGCCGAATAGATTGCTCCCACTCCATGAGCAGCAGCACACGGCCGTCCGTCCGGCGGTGACGGCGACCGAGGAGAGGTTATCAGCTCCACAATTTCCACAGGCAAAGCCAGCGGCAGCGGTGACCACAATCTCGGAGGGAGCTCGCTTTGTGGGCTGTTGTTTATTACAATTATAAACGTTAATGACCGACTCGGGTCCGGGCCGGATCCGTTCTGATCGGATCATCGTGCTGCGTGTATTATAGGCCCACTAAATTTAGATCGAAGCCGTGTTTTCTTAATTTTAGTTCAAGTTCGGGAGATAACCCCTATGGGCAGAGCGGGTTGCTAACGGAATCGAACGGAAATCGAAACTTGAAGATTAAAAAGCACGCAACGGGGGAAAATATAAATAGTCCATAAACTAAGTATTTAAAGCATTCGATAATATTTATAATACTCAAATGAGGGTGTTTTTGTTTCAATTCTATTACAAAAAAAAAAAATATTATAAAAACCTCTAGAATGTTTCCATAAATATTCAAATTTATTTCATCAACAATTTTCACAACAGTAAACGAACACACAAATTTCACAATTTTCCTCCTTCTTCGCCGAGAACCGACTTCAACTTGTTTACGCACTTCAAGTAGCTCCGAGTCATAAAACTTATTTCTGTATTAAGATAACGTAATGACTTTCTTATCGAACACAACACAAACTGTTAAATAAGACGAGAACTTTCACCCATTGGCAGTTTAGGCAGAATATAATGTGTGAATGAAGACTTAAGCCTAGGACTTATTAGTTCAGGGGTTTTTCCTCAGTTCTGGGTTCAGACTCGAATTAATTCAACCATCTGGAGGTCTCCGTGGCAGTCAGACCCTCGGAGCGCAGACGCTGCAGCATTGGGCGGTATATGTCGGGTGTGAAAGGCAGCAGGACACCGCGTTCCTGGATCTCACCTGGAAAATATTAAATAAAAATCAAATAAATTTAAAGATTTCAAAATTAGATTCATGGCATAAATGTCTTTCATCTCAAATATCAATAAAATATTCGGTATATAGATATTTTCTACCATCCCTAAGAAGACTTACCATCTAGTATCATTTTGGCGGCTATGGCAGCTGGTTTGCCCACTGTCATGGCCATGGCGGAATGTCCTTGGGGCTGGCCGTAGACCACAAAGTTTATGCCACGCTCCTCGCGACGACCATCGGCCCAACGGATGCCCACCTCATGGCGGAGCACCACCAGATCACGTTCATCGCGTTCTAGAAAAGGAAAAACAAAATAAGATTAGAATCAAAGCAAATGTAAGTTATTATATTTAAAAAAAGAAACTATTATGATTAAAAGAAACTCTCAAGCACTCACCGAAGGCCAATCTCTTGGAAAGATAATGACTGAGCGTGTCCAAAGGAGTATTGAGCTTCACCACTGGAGTTTCATCCAGCAGACCCAAGCTCTCGATGCATTCCACATCGCCAATCCGCTCATTCAGTTTCTGCTTCAAATTCTCATAGAAGATGCTCGAATCGGACATGCCCAATAGATGGATGACCAGCTGGCGCCACGTGACATCCGGTCCACTGGGATGCAGAAGGGCGTGTGGTTCCGCATCAATCAGGCCCAGCAGCTGCATGGGCTTTATGGACTCCGAGAAGCCCTTGTAGCGGATGGTTCCCCGCAGCAGTGTATGCACATCCTTGCCCAGTCCATACAATGAACCATATTTTGTGGAATCCCTATTGGGGAACCCTTCCAAGGCGAAGCCGGGCAAAAAGTCAAGGCTGCGATTGCAGGACATGAGTTCGCCGCCACCGGAAATCTCCACAATCTGCCCACGACTCAGATACTTGGCAGCCGAAAGTGTGTTGAGGAGGACTCCCCTTGGCGACCAAGAGAACTTGTAACGTAGGGCATTGTTCGAGTGCTCCGGTGCCGGTAGACCGCCGCAGTAGCTCACAAAGGATTCCACAACACCTCCCTTGTCCTGTACCTCATGGATACACTCCAGGGCCAGCAGGTGATCAATACCCGGATCTAAGCCCACCTCATTCATGATGGTCACACCCTTGGCCTTGGCCTCGTCATGCAAATCGGATATCTCATCGTTGAGATAACTAGCTGTGACCATGTGGGTACCCTCCGCCACGCAATACCTGGCCACCATGCCATGGAGACTGTAGGGTAGCAAGGAGATCACCACATCGGCCTTGCCACACAGCTCCTGGAGGTGGCCAGTGCTTTCGTTCACATTCAGATAGACGCTGTCCACTCCCGCATATTGCTGGGCCAATCGATCGGCTTCCTCCTTGACCTGCGAGCAGACCGTAATACTCACATCCTTTTCGCGATGCAACCACTCCACCAGAGGGGCAGACACCATGCCAGCACCCAGAACGAGGACATTCTTGTTGGACTCTGATCTTCCCTCCATCTTGTGACGTGATCGATGGTTCTGCGAGTCGCGGAGCTCCTGTATGTACTGGAAGCCCTCGGTAAGCTCACCATTGCTGGCGATAATGGCCTATGAGAGATAGGAATAGACTAGTTAGCTAACTGATAACAGATCTGAGATAAGTGGTCACAATGCACTTGAATGAATCTAGAACTCACCGACTGAATGGGATAAGAGAACTGCTGCTCCGCCAGCGGTTTCTTGGCATCACTCTTGATGATATCATGGACATGGGGCGTCAATAGTTCACCAAATAAATCTGTTGCCTCCCTAGGCAACTGCGTGGGCATATTATCAATAGAACAGACCAACACTCCCGGTCCCTTAAAGCTCTTGGTATCCTTATTCCGATCCGCATCGTACAGACAGAAGGGTGTATCTATGGTCGTGCATTCATTCATGAACTCAATGGAGCCACCAGGATCGGCAGAAATGTCGCAAATGGCCAGCATACGATGCGGCAGGGCGGGACTACCCTTGCTGGTGGGCAACCAAGGTGTATTGGCTGGACGGAGCAGGTTCTTGGCATCCGGAATGCTGATCAACTTGGGACTGCCCACGGCCCAGTAGATGCCATTCACAATAACTGAGGCGTACGGAGCGATCTTAGTGCTGAAAGTGGATATATAACGCTCGGGGAACTCATCATACTCCTTGGCATCGAAGCCGCCGCCCTCACGTCGCTCCAGGTGATCCGAACGGCTCACCTCACAACCGTACAGCTTGTTTTGGTCTAAAGAAATCATATATGATTATTAGATTCTTTTGATTTCAAAAACTCTGTGAATTGAAACTCACTTCCATGCTCGGCCACCTTGCGCAGCATCTCTGGCGGCACATACTCAATGGGCAGTTCCGAGAACACTTCCTGTGCTCCTTGCGACACATTTCCGGACCCCGTAAACACAAAAGTCAGCGGGCCAATAGACTTGGGCATCATGCCCAGCGAGATCTCGTATCCACAATCCCGAATAGCTTGCCGGGCCATTGATGAATTTCGATAATTGTGAGCCGGTCCGATGTGCATGAAGGGCGTATGGTGACCCAGAGCCAACAGACGCAGCCCAATGCCATGCAGAATGTTGACCATACCAGCAACTCCAGCATATTTTCCAAAAGCCACCTGACGAGCTCCACGCTCATCGATAATGCGTTCGTAGTCGATAAGACGGATTTTCTAGAAGAAAGCGAGGTTAGTTAGGTATAACCAGAAACATATATATAGTATATCCTAGTTCTAATCAAACCTTTTCCAAAATGGCATCCAAGAGGGGCATATTCGATTCCTGCGCCTTTATGGTGTGCGAAAAAAAGCAGTAAGTCTTTCCAGGGATCAGGGCATCAATAGGAACTTGCTTAACACCAAAAATCACCGAGGCATCGCTGATGTCCTCCTGAATATGGGCCCCAGCTTGCATATAAGCCTGGAAAAGGGGGAAAATTTATAATTAAAAGAAATAAATATAGAGAACAGAATTAATTTCTGTAGGTGGGAGAAATGAGAGTCAGTTTTATTATTATTTATAATATTTGTTCTGATATCTAGGTAATTTGTTTTTAATTTAAAGTTGTAGACGTAAAGGAGACTTTAAGTTGTATTTTTTAACTTTCGATTCACACGAATTAGTAAGTTCCTCTTCTACAATTTGGTTTATTATTTAATCAGTTGGTTAATTAGTTTCTTTAAGAACCACAATTAATATAAAAACTTGTTATTTTGGTTCGCAATGTAAACATCGCTTTGATAGTTATAATGATTAATTAATCATTGTTCGCCTCACGTGCCTCCTCCTATCATCTTAGAAATCTGTTGAGCACTCTATACTATATAGATTCCTTGAAATCATTGTATATAAACGATAAGCTCAGTGCTTACGCCTTACTCTCTCTCTCATCATCGTTTTTTTGTTTTCCACTTGGCCTCAAGGCCAGCCAATTGCCAAATTTAGAGCTCCTCGGAGAGGGGCTTATCATTCGAGTTTTTATATTTATGATGCACAGAACTTTGGGGGGCGTGTGTCGCGCAGCACAATATACACTATAAAGACGGCTGACTACTGCGATATGATTTCCAGGCAGCGATTAGTCCGGCGATACAATAAATCCGTTGCCAACTGGCCATGGAAAAATACGGCTTACAGCGGAAGGAGATTGAAAGCGGGTACGTGTTCCACATTCAAGTATGTTATGATCTCACCTGCATGGGATATGCTCGACGATTGGAGGGCTGGACGATAACCTTGACATTCTGCTTGACCAACTTCTGGACATGGGTGGGTCCAAATGGAGCTCGTCGCTCCCAAACCGACTGGTCCTCCCGGCGAATGGCAATCACGCGACTCTGACAAATGGAGGATACACAAAATATTATTATTAAATACAGATTGGAGTATATTTTTATTTAAACAAGGATTCACTTTTAAGTAGTTCGAAGTTTTAGTTTCCAATTGTCAACTTCCGGTTAAAATTGAAAGTTAACAAAGACATGCCTAAACATAATATAAAATATGTACATTTTAATAAAGTTAGTTGAGCATTTTTTTAAAATTCAAACGCTAAATATTTTTTAGTTAAACAGTTATTCGACATCTTTTATGATCTTATTATGAATGCAATTTTTGAGATATCAACACACTCACATGACGCTGTCTGGTGAACGGATGCGCGATTATTGCGCGCTGTTGAATGGCTCTCCACATGGTTCGTCAACTCTGTGGGATCAGTTTCGAGCAGAATTCCTCAAGTGCGAATTTATATGGGTCTTCTCAATGTTCGTGGTTGTTCCGATCCGCCTGCTCTGAGCTCTCGCACTCTTCTGAAAGGCATCGGAGGAGGCGGCATCGGCAGCACCTCTAATCAGCAACCCGTCGTCGTAAATCCAGCGATAAGCCGCTCTCCATCGTGCATCTCCTCGGAGCTGAAATGGAAAAGAAGAGAAGAGAGCCTGCTGATTGCCAAGGGAGCAATGAAACAGGCGGCGGAGATTTCACTTTGGATTTTCAGTCTGAAAATTTTCCACTCTGATAAGAGAGAGTTATCCGGAGAATTAAGAGAGAGTATCAAGAATGTTTGCTTTTTGGGAAAATTTCTTTTCCTCGGAAAAATGGCACTTTGTTAACATCACACTTTCCACAAATTACTTAATTATTCGCAATTTTTTGTGTTAAAGCATAAGTTTTATTTTTGTAATTGCATCTTGATTTCATAGTTTCATCGTCGTTTCAGATCATCATCATTTTACTATAACAGTTTTCTTTACTTAGTGGGCTAAAATGTCTACAAACTACTCGAAAAAATAAATATATAAAACACTTATTGCGTTTTTGCCTTAAATTTTTCAGGTAAAGCACAAAAATCGAAAATAAAAAAGGAATAACAATTTGTTTTAGTTTTTGATTACGAAAAGGGGAGGAAAGTTGGATCCGCATCTAAATTCTTTACAACGCTGGCGCCTCGGGCAGCAGCGATGTGAAGAAGGTGATGACGAAGGTGCGCACAACGGAAATCACAGAGTTATTGGCATTTGGTGGTTCCACAGCCACGGCCATGGCTTCGGCAGACACATCGACAGCAGCCGCATCGGGATTGGCAGCTGTTGCGGGTGCCGGAGGAGCGGCGGCCGTAGCAGCATCGGGTACATCCTGCGCGGCAGGAGCTGCTCCCTCAGCTGCTGGTGGCACAACACCCGGCTCATTGGCCGCCTGTGGATCATTATTCTCGCGCTCCACAGCCGCATCCATCATCCGTTGGATTTGCTGCACGGCAGCAAAGGCAGCGGCAGCATCACCAGCATTATTGTTACGGTTAATGTTGTTATTATTACGCTCGCGGCGCATACGCAGGATGCCAATGTGATAGCTGCGGGATAGAGAGAACCATTTAGAAGCTAAAAGTCTAACAATTAAGAGAATTCACTCACAGATAAATAGCCCCTGCAATAAGCACCACCAGAAGGCAACGCAGTGGCGAGGAGTTAAAGTAAAGCACTGTCACAAATATGGCCAGGCGAGTGAAGCTAAAGAAGCTATCCAGCCAGTCGCGCATCTCGGGTTCCTCTTGAATGTGGGGGAAGTTGGGTCTGGCCAGCGGCGCAGCTGCCACTTCTGCTGGCGGAGCTGGAGGAGCAGCTGCAGCCGGGGGAGCCGCTTGTACTCCTGCTTGGGCCTCGGAGAGGTTGGGAATCCGTGCTAATTGAGCAAACAGGGGATGAGCCAGCAATGAAGGTGGTTGTGGTGAAATTGGCGTAGCGGGGTTACTCGAACCGGGCACGGAAGATCTGGAAGAATAAATATCCAAAATTAAAATTAAATAGATTATAAAGTTGATGTATGCTAAAAAAAATCGCCTCTTTCAAGTCAGAACGGGCCAGATCGGGCGACTATATCAAATATCACAGGAACAATCGGACGATTTATAGAAGTCTGATCGGTAATTAACTATGACAGGAATAAACTATAATTAGCAAGTAACTATGAACAATAAGTAAGTACCTATGACCAGTAAGTAACTAACTATATATATATACATATATATAGCTGCCATAGGAACAATCGGACGATTTATAGATCTTTAATCAGTAATCAACTATGATCAGTAACTAACAATGAGCAGTAAGTAACTCTGAACAGTGAGTATCTATGACCAGTAAGTAACTCTGATCAGTAAGCATCAATGAATATTAAGTATCTATGACAAGTAAGTATGTATGTTCAGTTACTAACTTTGAACACTAATAAACAATGACTTGCAACTTTTGTAACACAACACATATCTGATACTGGGCCGGCAGCAGTCACTTCGTTCCGGGGATGTTTGAACCAGTTGGGAATCATATGTACAGAGAGAGAGTTGTTTTGGAACAAATTCAAGAGAAAACTATTTGAATGAAACTATGGAGTTATTCTTATTTATAATTTTACTAGTATATAAATCGGAGCATGGCGAATCGGTGGACTATACATATATACATATATATAGTGTCCATAGGAACAATCGGACGATTTATAGAACTATGATCAGTAATTAACTATGACCAGTAAGTAATTATGACCAGTAAGTAACTCAAAACATTAAGTATCTATGACCTGTAAGTAACTCTGAACAGTAATTATCAATGAACATTAATTAACTCTGATCAGTAATTAAGTATGACCAGTAAGTATGTATGTATGATCAGTAACTAACTTTGAACACTAATAAACAATGACTTGCAACTTTTGTAACACAACACATATCTGATACTGGGCCGGCAGCAGTCACTTCGTTCCGGGGGTGTTAGAACCAGTTGGGAATCATATGATATGATGATTAACTATGAACAGTAAGTATCTATGACTAGTAAGTAACTCTGAACTGTAAGTATCTATGACCAGTAATCAACTATGATGAGTAAGTATCTATGACCAGTAACTATATATGATCAGTTATTAACTTTGAACACTAATAAACAATGATTTGCAACTTTTGTAACACAACACATTTCTGAGACTTGGCCGGCAGCAGTCACTTCGTTCCGGGGATGTTAGAACAAGTTGTGAATTATAAGATCACATGTACAAGATGTGTTTTGGAACAAATTTAAGCTATTTGAATGAAACTATGGAGTTATTCTTCTATATAATTTTAATACTATATAATTCGGAGCATGGCGAATCGGTGGACTATATACATATATCATATATAGCTTCGATCGGAACGACCGGCAAATTTTAAGAAAAAATTATAACTTTTCCAATTTTTAGCAGATGTTTATCAAATTTGATATATAGCCATTATATATTAATCTAGAATTTTATGAAAATCGGACTACTATATCATATAGCTGTCATACAAATGGCGGTTAAATATAGAGGGAAATATATAGGTGAATGAAATGAAAGCAGGCATTACTTTTTTGTTTTTTTTTACATAAAAATATATAATTTATATTGCATTAATTCCTACGTATTAAATTCCAATCTGCAAGGGTATACAAACTTCGGCGTGCCGAAGTTAGCTTCCTTTTTGTATTAAAATAATATTAACTAATCCGAAAATAATCTAATAAATAGTAAAGTAAATAAACACAGAGAGCCTCTGCTGATAACTAAAAATATTCCGAGATGTGCTCAGTCAATGTTGTTTTGCAAAAATTTGAAGATAAGAAAATTAAGAGATTATTATTGGAAAACTCTGCAGCGAATTAAATAAGGGAAAGCAAAATGAAGACCCAAACAAAAGTTTAAAAGCAAAAAAAAAAACAGTTTATAATGTCAATTAAACTCCTTTTTAAAACCTAAACATTTAACTCACCGTAAAGCCAACTCCTGCATATACTGGGCGTAGACCTGCTGCATCCAGGCGTTGTACAATATCGCCTGCTGTTGGAGCAGGACATGGGGATGAGGATTGGCACTGGCAGTGGCAGCGGCCATCGGGCTGCCACTGGAGGCAGCCGCGGCCATATTGTGCTGCCAGAACTGTGACCAGGGATTGGCCAGGGGAGGGACAGTGGCATTGACTGCCTGCTGTGCCTGCTGCTGGTGCTGATGTGCTGCGGCATGACGCTGTCGAAGTTCATTGGTGTTGTCCTGTGACTGCAGTGGCACTGTGTGTTCCTTGGGTGGAGCTAGCTTAACTGGAGGCTTGGGTATATTCTTGCTGGCGCACACCAGATGGAAGATGTGATGCTGCTGATAGACATCCTTGTAGCTCCTTATCACTTCCGATATCTTTTGACTGTCATCGAGTAGCTTGCCAGAGTAAATCAGTTTTTGATCGTGGATTTCCTGAAGGAGAAAATAATTTATTAATTTAAATAATTAAATGTAAATGAACGTCTAATAAAATATTCCCCTATTTGCTAGCTTTGTACTGGAACTACATATGTGTTTATTTTCTTACTTTCATTGGGTGAGGCCTAACCGAATCTGATCTTATAGAATGTTATTCCAAGAAGCGAGTTCTCGTTATAAAAAGTCTTTAAACCAGATGTTTTCTTTAGTTTCAATTAACTTTGTTATACCTTAACCTAATTATATGTAAGCCATAAATATGTCTTATCACGGAAACACCTTATCAGTACCTAAACCTAATTGCTTTAAACATTTTTTACCGTAACTGACATATTTAAGTTCAAGCTTTAATCCCTAGTTCCAAGCTGCATGACGCAAGTGCATGACGAATGCTATAAATTACAGTGGCTAAAATTCACTGACGTGTACTTGCTGCCTCTGGGAGCCCGTTCTCGATCCCAAGACGCAAATAGCCTCCCAGGCACTTGTATGCTAAGCGAAGATGATAAACAATAACAAAACAGTTCGATAAGATAGGCTCGCTATAAGCTGACGTAAACTACATAGAAGATACAGGGTGACTACTCACCGGCTTGCCAGGATAGACCAGCGATAGTTGCTTCTTGAGGCGCTTCACCGTCCAGCCGAGATCGCTCTCCACGTTGAGGTCGTCATATTGCTGATTGGACGATTTGATCAATAGTCGGACACTGGATTTACTGGAAGCGCTCGGTGTCTCAGGCGTCTCCGTTGTTGCGACGATTTTCTGACGCGCTGCAGCATCGCAGCCCGCGGCAGCGGGTGGATTGGCGGTCTCGTTCATCTCGTTGACCCCCGGAGAAGCACTTTCTATCGCTAATTATTAGCCACGAGCAGACAGAGTGATAGCTGCTGGTCTCGATTTGCTTTCGCTTGTTTTTTTTTCGGGGAGCTCTCAGCTCTCAATTTTCGCGGCCACTGTTTAATCGCTGCACTGCGCCACTTCCTCTTTTGCTCTCAGCTCCGCTCGCTGGGATTTTTCGTAATTGTTTTTATACCGACTTTGACATTTGGATTTGGATATATTTTTGTTCCCCAGCTGTTTTGTTGTTTTGCAGCTGCCAGCACAGGAATTATTGATTATGAAACGAAGTAAACGGTTCCGACAGTGACCTGTGAGGCAGAGATGAGCGTTAGGGTTTTAATGGCCTTGTATACTTAAAAACTGGTAATTTAATCGTTCTGTAAATAATTACATTATTAAATCGGTGAAATTTTTAATATAGCTGCTCAATCACTGATTAAAAACAATGAATTAAACTCATCACTGGCAGCAACACTTGTTAATGCTTATATACTCAGCAACAGGGTTGCCTTGACTTTCGGCGCTGCCAACTTGTTTCAACGTGACGTGTGTTTTTATTCAGTGTGTATAACAAATTGGCCGTTGAAATATTTAAAATATAAAACTTAAAACTCAACTAATACAACTCTATAACAAGTTCAGATTCACATATTTATTCAGCCAAATAACAAGAATATGCCTAAAGTTCTAAATGTAAAATAATAAGTTTGTAAAACAGGTTATTATTATTTTGATTTGTTTTGTTGTATTTCATTTTAAGTTTTATGTCGAAATGAAGCTAGATTTATATTTCGGCTTAATTTTTTTCAATAGGGCTTTCGTAAATCATGCTCCTAGCTGAATCATTTTGTATACATTTTATTCTCAAATTATTTTTTACCAATATCTGTCATTTTGGTGTTTTCCTAGTAGAGTATTCCAAATTTTGTATCAACTACGTCTTTACTTTATAGTCTAACAAATAAAATTAAAAACTAATATATATAAGACACATACATGTCTAACAAATAAATTAAAAAACTAATATACACTTAATAATTTGATAACCGTGACACGTGAGCCAGACGGCGGCCGGTTCGTGAGCATCGGTGTCATCACTATTAGAAGTGCATCTCCCGATTTGTGAAATTGTCAAAAGTTTTCAGTTTCAACTTTGCACCACCTTTTCAAAGATATATTCCCTTCTAATAACGCAAAAACCTGATGGATAACAAATCAGCCGTGTCCGCTCTCCAGGAATTCAGTGCCAAGTCCAAGACTTGTCCTCCGACTTACGATTTTATCGACGGCGAAGACGGTGGCTATGTCTGCAAAGTGTCTATGATGGATATTGAATCCTATGGAAATGGTAAAACTAATGCGTTTAGCTCAGATTGAATTTGTTTTTCATGCTGTAAAATATGTAAAAATATTTCAGGCCGCTCGAAACGCGATGCCAAACACTTGGCTGCTGCGAATATATTGCGAAAAATCTGTAAACTTCCTTCCGTCGGCAGCATGTTGTCTGACTTGGAGACCAAAGAGACCGATGGAATTAGCGAGCTGGCAGATGAAATGACCAATCTGAATCGTGATATGCTGAAGGAGCTACGCGACTACTGCGTCCGCCACGAGATGCCGCTGCCCATAATCGAAATTGTGCAGCAGAGCGGCACTCCCAATGCCCCAGAATTCGTGGCCTGTTGCTCCGTGGCCTCGATTGTGCGCTATGGAAAGTCGGACAAGAAGAAGGATGCTCGCCAGCGGGCGGCCATTGAAATGCTGGCCGTAATATCTAGTGATTTTGACGCCGTCCGCCCCGACCAAATGCAGGTGGTGACCACGAAGGCAGCAGAGCCTGTACTCGATGTAAACGATGTGCTCGAGGATGTGGAGACGGAGCGCAGGAAGAAATTCAATACCTACAGAGAGCTGACGGATGCCGGTAGCGTGGACAACACGGGTATGCGCCTCTGCGATCGCCACAATTACTTCAAGAACTTTTATCCGGCTTTAAAGGAGGCGGCCTTCGAAGTCATCAATTCGGATGAATACATGAGCACCAAGGACCAAGCGCTGAGCCTCTTGAGTGCCCTCAAGATCACACCGAGCATTGGAATCATAGAGTCGACATCGATAGAGCCTCTAATGAAGGTCGAACTAAATTGCGAATTCGATTGTCTGATTCTGGGATTCGAAAGTGAAATTTACGGTCAGATAATAAACTATTTCAAAGACATGTTGGTCTGAGATCCGGGATCCAGATCCATTCATGGTCCATTATGTATATGGTGTATATAATAACATTTATTTTTAACTAGCTTCGGCTTACAAACTACGCAAACTGTCTCCTATATTTACACATATAATGCACATATTCGCTTTGTAACTTATCGTCTACATATTTCGGTTAATAATACAATCTAAACACCACTGTGGAAGTGGTGGTAAAACAACATGAAAGGGTGATTTTATTTAAGGTCGTCTTTTGTTAACTTTGTACAATATACATTTTGCTAAGGCAATTAAGATTTAAGCAAAGATTCCGTCAGATAAAGGGACCCGTGTGCAAAAGTTCAATAACAAAGATGGCACATTGTTTCTAGCCATCTCTTCCGAAAAGGGGACTTCCCCCTAAATTACACAAAACAGCCCTGTTTATTTGTAACACCAATGCAAATCAAATTAGAGATGGGCTCACCAGGTAAAATTACTTTGTCGTAACAAACAGTTTATAATACAAGAAACATTATCAAAAAAAAATAATAATAGAAGTCAAATATAATCGCATTCATTGCACATAAATCCATTTCTTTCAAACAGTGATCGGCGGAGTTATGTCATTATGCCATAGGAGATCCGAAATAAGATCTTCGACATTCTCCAAAGCTATAATATTTACAAAGAAATTTATCTCTAAAATTATATATTAAATTTTTTATATAGTTTACTTATATTATATATAAAAATTAAGGTAATAAAAGTTATTTTTTGAATTTAACAAAAAGTTGGTTGTGAATTTCGATTGCATTTGGGATTATGGAGAAACTGACTCTCTTTCACCTGCCATAAAAGGTAACGTATAATTTACTATTCAAAATAATATAACTATATAGCTAAAGGCAATGCCAAAACAATTGCTGCACCTCAGTAGCTGATCTTCTTGCGCAGCTTCAGGCTAGATTGATGCGACTGCTGATGGTGTTGCTGCTGCTGCTGCTGGTCACGATCTCTTTCCCTTTCGCTAGACACGCGGCTGCTTACGCCCCGAGCCAAGTGATGGTGCCACTGGGGGGCTGAAGCTGGCGGTGCCGTGGGCGTTGGAATCCCCGAGTCACCCGATGTAGAGGGCGAGACCGAGGATCCCGCGGATTCGCCAAAGAGACGACGGGAGAGCTTGAAGCTGCCGCTGGTGCTACTGTTGCAGCTGTTGTACCGACTGTTGTTACTGCTGCAGTTATTGTTATTATTCATGTTGCTGGAGATAGTACCACCGCCCGCTGCAGCTGCTCCCGAAGATGCTGTTGCTGCTGCTGCCGCTGCAGCCGCTGTCTTCCTCAGCAGCTTCGTGTTGTACTCGTCACTCTTGTCCTTGTCCAGCCTAGTGGAGCTCAACGAGCGCTTGTTCCGCTTGGCCGCTCCAACCAGGCTGTCGTGCTCGATGATTGCCTGCAATTCGACGGCACTTCCACGCCCACTAAGCCGGCTTGTGTCTGCGGGATGGGAGGAAGAAGGAGGAGGCGGTGGTGTGGATGTTGAATTATTATTATTCAAGCTGGTTAATTTGGTTTTCGGCAGCGGATTCGAGTTGAGATCGAGCGTGGCGGATGCGGAGCGTGTGGCTATATTAAACGCAGAGGAGGAGGACCCACCACCAGCACCAAGGAGCCCCATAGTGGGTATGGCGGATACGTCCCGGTAATAGCGAGCTGTGGCCACCGTACAGGGCTGAGTTTGTGCCGCTGCCGGAGCCGTCTCCGCTGCATTCGGACGCTGGTATCGAATTCGTGACCTTCCACGGAGCGTCATGTGGTGATGGGAGGCACGAGCAGCACTACCACGCGTGGGCGGAATGGTGGCCGAGCTGCCGGCACCACCACTGGCAGATACCACGGGTATCTTGCTCTCGTTGATGGTGGCATACGGCCTGAGCACCACCACTGGCTGCTCCTGCTGGGCCTGCTGATGCTGTTCCGCCTTGCGCAGATGTTTCAGCTCCATTCTGGGCCAAGGAGCAAGTGGAGGGTAACGCACAAGTCGAACAAATAGAAGAAAACGGGGCAAGAGAAGAAAAGAGGGAAGAGAAGGTGTACGGGGCACAGAAGAACGATATAAGTCCCAACACATACAGACAGTCTTGCCAAAGACTTAATAATAATAATAATTATAAGATGCATAACACCATACACTTGAATTGTACATTTTGAGGAAGTTTTACGTATGGCGTTATGAATCCTGTCTTCGGTTTTATTAGGAGTAGAAAGGCGAAAGGAGGCTTCGGTTCTTTCCGGAGATTTCGAATAACCTTGCAGATTCGAGACACACAGATAAACCTTGCTATATATTTAAAATTAATCAGAAATTTATCTTTCCAAAAATTGCTACAATATACCGTATAATATGGAAATAATCTGCAAGGATATTATCCAAGTATTCACACTCCATTATCCTCCAAAATTATAAATACGAAAATACAATGAATAAAAGCAACAAAAACAAGGCCAAAACATGTAGACAAAACATTCGAGCAAGCTGTCAGCCGCATAATTTTGATAATTTGTTGTTTATTATTGTGTTTCTTTTTTTGCTCAATAATAATACTTTTTGTTTAATTTTGGGCATGCACAAAAACAGAATTGCAACGAAAAGTGCTAAGTACAAAACAAGTATTCAAATTTTTAGACTAAGATTAGCAGCTAAAACATAATGTTAACGATTATAGAAATAAAATTCTGGATTAGTATTAAAATGAAACGCCATTTGGGGTTAACTTGGTGCGAATTATAGTTGGAGAGGGCGAGAGGGGATAATAATTAAAAAGAGTATTACAAATAAATTGAACTCATATCACAAACAAATTAATTTAAATTATATTGTTTTCATTCAAGAAAATTCTACTACAAATTTTAAGAAAAATTTTAAAATGTTGAAATTAGATAAAATGAATATAATTGTTTACTAATTCGAGTGAATCAAGTTCAACATTCTGTACAATCATAATATAAATAATATGTACAACTGCTAAAACGTAAGACAAAAAAAGGGGCAGAGGCAATCAAAGTTCAATATTAAGTAAAAATTCAAATGTAGAGCCGCACACGAACGAAATCAAGGTTCAAAATAAACATTAAGAGCTTTCGAGAGAAGAGTTTATGAGGTACGACGAGCGAGGGGTATCCACTTACTTACCTTTTGCTATAGATCGCCAGGCTGCGGGTGCGACTGTTCCCCGAACTGGCCAATATATTGTTAGTGGTATTGTTGTTATTATAGTTATTCAGGGAGTTGCTTAGATTACTGTTGGTGTTGCTGTTATTGTTGCTGTTGCTGTTGCCGCTGAGGTTACTGCTTCCATTGTTGTTTAAACTGTTGGCTAACATAACGGCTGGTGTTACCCCTGAACTTGTTGCCAAGCCAGTTGAAGCTACACCAGCCTTCAGAGCAGCCATCGCCGCCACACCGGCGTTGCTGTTGTTATTTCGGAAGGGCTGCGATCGAGCTCTCGTGTGTCGTTGATTCGAGTCCTGCTCGCTGTTGGGTGGATTAATCAAATAATTTGAAGTCTAAAGGATATATCATTTGGAAATATTTACCTATTGCTGTTGTTGACATTGACGGATCGCGAGTGGTGATGCCTCCGTAGCGCCTTAATTTGATTCAGCTTATCGCCCTGCGTCTGGGCCTGCTGCTGTTGCTGTTTCTTCTCTAGCGCCGTCTGAGTCATTCGAACCGTGGAAGCGATCGTATGGCGTGCCGCGTCAAAGACATTGGCACTGGGCTTGCGCAGTTTCTTCTCCGTGCAGCTGGGCACCTCGGCGGCAGCGGGATAGGCTACACCAGGCGTAGCAATACTCCTATTCGCATTTGGGTTAACCAGGCGTCGCAGAGAGGTGGCTATAACAGTGGATTTATTTGCAGCCGATGGAGATTTCCGGCGACGTGTAGTTATGGTATAGCCGGAGGTCAATGATGGTTCTGCTGGAGCACTGATTGTATCCGTATCGTTGTCATCGCTGCCATTACAATTGGGATCCTCCGCGGTTGCTTGCTGATACAAGGCATGCTCATCTCGCTCCAGTTGCCGCTGCTCAGAGAGCTCTTCAGCCGTCGGATGATCGGCACTCGCGGCATCCAACGTGTCCTGATCGTTCAGGTGCATGGTATCCACACGCTGCGAGATTCCTTTGACGCGGGTCAGCAGCAAGTCCACATGCTCCGAGGAATTAGCAATGCTGGATACCTCCGCCAGTTTGGTCTTTAGCTCCAGGCTATTGATACCGTACGTGTGCCGGAGAATGGGCAGATTGGTGCGGCGACGCATGCGCTCGCCCTCGGACCAAAGCCAGCTTTGTTTGCTAAATTGGAAACAAATTAATTATATTGAAAATTAAGGGAGGCACCCGAAAATACTCACTCCTCCATCCACTGCTGCTGATGGCCAATAACTGATCCCGGCCTGCAGAGCCTCAGCCAGGCAATGGACTCCAAGGCAGTGAACCCATAGTGCTTCATTATATACGCTCCAATGAGGCTACCCGTCCTGCCCAATCCCGCCTTACAGTGCACGGCAATAGCTCCCTTTGTTGTCTCACAAATGGAGAGGAACTTTTTCATAATGGCATCGCTGGGTGTGCTGCCATCGATAAAGAACAGATCCTTGTGATCGAACCCGGCGTTCTCAAACGATGAGGCATGATACACCTTGGCGTTCAACCGAATCACGGTCGTGACATTGTTCTCACGAAAATAGGTAAAGTAGCGTTCGGGTGCATGGCACGGATAACCGTTCGGCAGGGTTTTGCTCTTCTGATGCGGCCCACAAAACGCAATAAACTTTTGCGGCACAATCCAGTTGAAGTCGCCATTCTCAACGCGCTCAAAATACTCATACTCCTCCGCATCAAAGTCGTTGAAGTTGAAGAAACCCGCCTGCAGCCCCTTGTGGACAGCATTCAGACAGTCCAGCAGCGAGATTTTAAAGCTGCTGGGTCCGTAGCTGGCGTCACAAAAGCGCGTGTAGGCGGGTATTTCGCCAGCGACAAGCGGCCGATACGCCTCCTGGGGTGTTTTATTTAGGTAAATGATCTGGAAAAGGTGAAAAGACAATTCAAAGAATTAGCTAAGGTTTTCGCTGTTAACAACCAATTGCTGGAGAGGCACTTACTGCATACGAACCAATCAGGTAGGCCGCATTGAGACGCTTGGCCGGATTCATGGAGGTGTAGTGGACAATCTTCTTGTTCGCATGGCACTTCGCATTCAACTTGGTGTTGAGCTTCATGCAATACCTGTACAGCATACAGATATTCAACGGTCCAAAGTCGTTGTAAAAGTTCTCGTAGATGTACTCCTCATCTACGTTAAAGTAGTGAGTATTCACGGTGTTCTTTGGCTTGATGTTCTTCTTGAAGGCCACAAAGTATAAGCGGTCTGTAAATATATGGCATCAGTATATATATATCAATCAAATGAGGGTTCGTCGCTCCCATACCTTCCTGCATCTCAGATGCACAGACCAACAGATCTGAGTTGTCATCGTCCAACATCATGGCGGGCACGGGGCGGGTAACGGAAGCACACGAACGACTGTTTGGCGACTGAAAGTAATTAAAATAAAGAAAAAGATACTTTATGACGGTTTTTAAAATCTCTAGCGTTATAAACTCTCGCTAAAAACGTCTTAAGTCACTTCATTGGCCCACACACATTCGCATGTTCCGCTAACAAGCTTCCGCTTTACTATTTCTTACCAATTTAAATTTATACAACGTATTAGAAGAGTATGTATTTTTAGAAAGACAAAGCTTTAAAATGTATTGACAATCTAGGTTTTCTCGCTCAGATTATATCTATAAGCATAATTAGGCTACTAAAAACCTAGCATAACAAGGACGTTCTTGTTTTTGTTTTCCTGGAGATTTATGTATATTGATAACGTTATCTACATCTAATTTTTCCTTTTACTGTTAGCTTTAAATGAAATTAAAAACCGAGGGTATACAAAAGTCATACACAAAAATTATAGATTTTCATCTTAATGATTAGTTTTTTCACAGCGCCCACACCGCTCTAACAAAAACCTGACTCTGCCTTAATTGGAATATGATAGTAAATAATGCTTTCCGCAAAGGGTGTTCCACAAACAGCCATCCATCCATCCAGCTGTCCCAGCAGAACAAGTACATATATGTATAAAACGTCTTTTATTCACATACATATCTATTGAGTGGAAACATGTGTTCAGTTTTACCAACTTTATGAGTGTCTGACTATCTGTCTTTGGCCACCCCTAAGTACAATTCCCTGCCTTATTTGCTCCACTTTTTCTTCCGCCTAGTGTAATGTAGGTGATGTGGGTTACCATATCGATATGCATATAGCCATCAGTCAGGCACTCATTCTATCAAGTCGTCAGTCGTCCGCAGTCCCATAAACAAAGGCAAAAAGGAGGAGAAGGAAGCCCGAATGGGGAAACACTCTTATGGAGAAGAGTCTTAAGGAAAATCTAAGAAAGTCACGTCTGTATGCAAATTCATGAGGAACAAAAGGGATGTCCATGACATAATTCCTAACGAGTTTATTGCCCCGAGGGATAGATTAGGGATAGTTTAATTTGATGTTGCTTCTCACGAGGAGGAGAGGTAACTATATATAATAATATACAATATATAATACGGCACTCGTAGTATAGTTATATACATAAAGAAGTACAAGAATGTTTGTAGGACAAATCATAAACCATATCTTTCGAAAATATAGTACATCTTGAAATCGAATAATAAAAAAAATACGATAAGGTACATATTATCACTGAATAGCCTTATATGCTCCTAATTTGGAATAGTTCAAGGAACATGAAAATATCTTTAGAATCGAGAAGTAATATCTTATTATGAAACCCCACAATCTCCTGAAAATAACAACCCGTTCCGGAGCTGTTCCTGCTCAACGCCAAAGGTATATTTTAATGGTCGGGGTGTTTACGATGTTGACCCTTCACCGAAAGTGTTACGCACACACGACTCACTCCTCACACTCGCCCATATATGTATATATCCTTATGAACACATGTAAATATTCGATTTTATGCTAATTTTTAACCTTTTGCAGCAGTTGGCGTGCCTTTGCAGAATTGGGAGACCCAGGTTGGTCCCTTTTATGCCCCAATCTTCCTTCTACCTTGCAGCAGTGCTTTATGCACTTCCTTTTCCTGACTTTAAAGTTGAAAAGTCAGGACAGCGAACGAGCAAGCGCTTTTTATGGCACATTTGCATGTCGGCCAAAGGCTTTGGATCCAAACTTAGATCCCTATCAAGTTGAGAAAGGTGTACCTGAAGTGTGTGTTGCCAGGCATATCGCATGACATTGGGTGTTCCTAGGCAAACGGAAACTAAAATAGCTAAAGATATCAGGATATATAGGGCAAGTCATGGCCCGAAAGGAGGTGAAGGAAAATGAATTAGTGGCCAGGTCCTCGAGGCGTAATTTCGTTCGTGTAAATCGGTATCGTTCTGACAATGCAGAAGACTATTACAGGTGGAGAAGGCACACATTTGTTGTGACTTCTAAGGGAATTCTACAAGGGTCTTCTATGGCTTGATATCTATTTTGGTTGCATGTATTATATACAAGTTAACAACCTAGTTTCTAAAATCGTTGACAAAGAAGATGCAAGCTCAGTACATATGGCGCAACCGGGTGAAAAAACCAGAAGTTCAATTTACTATAGAGGAAAATTCTATTAATTTTGAAGTTGGAAAGTAACTTTTGACTATTTAACGGAGACCTTTGTTTCGCTGTATCTCTGATAATGATGCGGCGCCATCTGTTGGAGGAATTTACTACGCCATACAATTCCAATTAAGAACTCTTCTAAGTTCCGATCAGAACAGTTTTTATCGTCAGATACATATACACATTTTGTTAGCTCCACTTGATAAACACTAAGTTTAAAGATTCTCTGGTTAATGTATGGTTATTGTTTAGGCGCACTTGTACTTGTTCATAACCGAGGTCGCCCTCTAGCGGCTATTGGCAGCAAAACTTTTCAAATCTAACTGTGAACTCCGCTCTTTGTGTTGTCTCCACATTTCTTTCTCTTCGCCACCTCTCGTACACACACTCACACACACACACGTTAGCCCCCTTCTATGGAGCATCGGAGATCATTGCTAAATATAGCTGGAATATGCAATTTACTATCACCATCTCTCTTACCCATTGATGACTTTTTGGAGTTGTCAAGCATTCCAATACAGCTACCACGTGACGACACAAAATCATATCACACACACATTTATCTCTATATGCTGACTTATCTGCTCCTGAGCCATGGATGTATGTATTTGAACATAAAAAGTAAACATTAAAATGCGATAGAAAGCAAGAACTGTTGTAGCTTCCTTTCTCCTATCCCTTCCTCCCTCAGCAGTTGGGAATTGAGACCTAGCCCATTTGGTCGTTAAAAACAATGGACAAACAAACGAGTTTTTAAATTTAGCCCTCTGACGTCACCAGAAAATAAAAAAAAACACTAGGCGAGAATGACAACAAAAGGCGGTTAAAAATAAATAGAAACCAACATCGATGGAGAGCCGAGCGAATAGCGTTTATTTTTCTTTTCAGTCAAGTTAGTTGAAACTGGAAGCGGTTTTCACGGAGATTTTTGCCGCGCTCGCAAAGCACAATAAAAACAAGGCACACACACTCGCACACACAGTTTACAACGGCAACAGCAGCAGCAGCATTCACCTGCACCCCACCCGCCGACCCCTTCCATTATTTCCCGCGCATGCGTTGACTCTCTCAATCAAAAGCTGCTCTCTCCTGCTCTCCCTCTCTCTCTCGTTTACACTTGTGCTTTGCTTTGGCGGCATTTGTATGGGCGTCCCGCTCGCTGCTGGCATTTTTGTGTGTTTGTGTGTGCGTCGTGTATTATTAACAGCAACCAACGCATTTTTCTACTAAAATCCCAGAGAAATCGAAAAGATTGTACTGCGTAATCAATTTTTTTGGGAATAACTTCTGGACTATTTTCGTGGCACTCAAAGAGAGCGAGTTGTTACAGTTACACAGTTATTTTGTTGGTACGTGGCCGAGTGCAAGCAACTATCCCCAAAGGGGGGTGGGGTGATACGGATGTAGTGGGAGAAGAGGGATAGTAAAAAGAGGAAGACTCACCTAAATTGTGGTTTCACACCGTTGTTATTGTTGTTGTTGGGATCCGCTGTGTATGGATATTCTCGAAACAGAAGGAGGAAGAGATGGGGAGGAGAACGGAGAAACGGGAAAGGCAGCAACAGCAGCACCAGCTAATAACACCCACACCACACTCTGCATAACACTTAGAATTTTTACTACAATTTTACTTGTTTTTGAAGGATATTTCTGATGTGTGGGTTTTGTGTACCAATTTTGTCAACGAATATTTCACATCGGATTTTGTGTTTTTTTTTTGTGTGTATTTTTTGGTTTCTGTTTTTAAGTTAACAACATTCTCAACGAGAGCTTTTGCACTTTGATTCTCAGCCCCCCTCTTGTTTTCTTTTTTAAATCGTAGTTAACGGAAAAATCCATCAAGCGCTCGGAAATTGCCGTTTTATCAAAACTATCATTATTGCACTAGATTTACGCACACCATATTTTGGTAGAATTTTTCCCGGCGATTTGTGTATTTTCTCCCGTTTGAAGTAGAGCAGGCGACGCGTTGGATACTTGTTCGAAAATTGGGGCTTGTTGGGTTCCAGTTCGAAGAGCTTGTGTGTTGGCCAAAGTGGTCTTCTGCGAGAGCTACGAAAATACCAGACACCCGGGAATGTTCCTATAAGTCTGATTGGCCACACTGATTCTGATTTGAACAGCTGATTGGTGTTGTCAGTGGGCAGTTTGAATTTATATTACATTATGAATATTAAATTTCAAAAATAAATGATGATAATGTGGATTTAATGTGGAGTTGATGTTATTTTTAACCCTTCCCTAAGATATTCCGATTTTCCCATTTTCAAACTGTATCGAGCTATCGATACTCGGCGCCATCGAAATTCTACGATAGTCGTTTTTGAAACATCGATAGTGCCAAAAGTACTATCGATTGCTCTCCGCCTCTGCTGCAGACTGCAAGTTTAAATTCGAAACTCTCGTGATCGGACGTTTTCCTTTCGACTCGGAAAGAAAAAAAATCGAGACCGGGGTAGGAGGATCGAGATTCGGATCGGTGTGAGCCCACCCCCAACTCTTTTTCGGAATTTTCCTTTTCCAATTGTGTTGGAAAAATATCTTCTTCGCGGCGAGTGCATGCGCGTGTGTGTGTCGATCGGTGTACCTGTTGCGTGCGTGTGTGTGTGTGAAGTTTATAAAAAGAAGTCAAAAAGAAGTGTGTGTGTTTGCTGCATCAACAAAAATAAAAACACCGAGGAACGTGTGCGTGTGTGTTGTTGCTGTCTGTATTACAGCAGTATTAATTTTTGGTAACTTTCAGTACTCCAGTGTGGCGGCGATCAAGGAATAGATGATATACACAGAAAAGCAGCATCCAGTGAGTACTTTATATAGTAGTCAAACGATTTACAGTTAGTTTTTCCACGCGGAGTTTTTACGCAGTTTTCCAGACCAGCTGCAGTGTCTCCTGTCTCCCTCTATGCTTCCTTCGTCTCTCGGTCACTCTCTGTCTTAGTTTTTCGCTCTTTCTTGAGTTTTATCTGGTGCCCTGTTTTTGTTTTTTTCTTCGCTTGCCTTCTCTACGTCTCCTCCTTCGCATCCGTTGTATTTGTATTTGTTGTTGCTCGTTCTTTTTCATGTTGTTGGTGGCATACTGCAGCATTTTTTTTATCATGTCTGTTTTGTGTGCACAAAAGTCGAGATAACTCAAAAAAAAAAAAGGGGGGAAAGGGGTATAAGCCGAGTGCAAAGAGCACATAACTTCCATGATCCAACCTCTATCTCTCTCTCTAACAAATACTCTCTGTGTATTTTCCAGTTTATTTTAATTTTCCATTTATTTGAAATACTTAGGTTCTTTATTAAAGGAAATGGTTAGTCAAATATATTTTTTAATTTATCTAGTTTTCTTAAAAGTTACTCATTTTAAGAAACTAGTGAGAAGATAGACATTTTAATTCCCTTAAAAAAATATTTCCCTAATAAATTTTGCAAAAAAATTTCCAAGCAAGAGTATTCATTTTACATTTAACTTTTCTTAAAATATTTTCCATTCCCGACACATGTGTCATTTTCCTTGAAATCATATTTATACATATCCCAGAAATACTATCCTATATCCAATTGCTGATCTCGCTAGACTCTCCAGCAAAGATTACCCATCTCTCATAAAAAAAAACCGACTGTTAAACATTAAATGTACAATTACTTTGCTAGAAATATTTTTTGGATTATGCATTCACATACTTGGACTCGTACAATATAGAAACATGATGCCATACATAAGTGAACGACTGGCTGCTTGTGGGGGGGGGAGGGGACTGGGACTGGACACAAAAAGTGCATTGCCAAGCGGTTTGACTTTATTTTTCCAGCGACAATGGGGCTCTTGGCTAATTAAAAAGTGAGCCGGGCTTCTGTCGCCTTGAAGATGTGCAGCCGACGAATTAATTTATCTAGATTGGATTGCGGCCTGTGGGCAGAGAAAAAAGGATTTATTTAGTCGGCGGTCGGGTCTAATTATAGCGGGACTATCGCGGGCTGATCTCATGCTTAGATGTTGGACTTTCTCATAAACATGTGTTCTCCAGACTGAGAATTGAAATTCGGGGCTGTAGTTTGGGGATGGGGTTTGGAATGGTGCATACATATGTATGTGTACTGTTTAAATATACAGTGCTCATTCGCAAAGTGGAATATTTTGTTTGTTATGCGAAATCTTTGCACATCAGTATAGTAATTGAAATTAAAATTTAATAGGAAAACGTCATAAAATCACTCAAGTTTAAAATACTTATAATAATACTTATTCCGTTTAAAAAACAATAGACATTGTAGCGTAAAATAGATCTTTATTGCCTATTAAAGTTATATATTCAATACAAGATAAACATATTACTTATATAATATTTAATATGCATATACATTCTTATACCCTTGCAAATTTTTCAAGGCATTTGGGGAGGATAATACATTTTTTCAAATTTTGTAAGGGGTTACACATTGTTAAAATTGTCAAAAATTGACAACAATTTTCATTTTTGTACATTTTAGATAAAGTATGCAGATTTATTACTCTAATAAAAACAAAAACAAGGCAGTTTTCCGATCGGAAGCAAATGCAATATTGATTGGGCTACGATGGATTTTCTTGGAAAGGGTATAGAATGTTTCGTGTTCTGAAGCTCGCTTCCTTTCTTTAAATACCACACAGTTAACATTAAGATATTGATTTATACATTAAAGTTTCCAATTTTTAAATATCCAGTAATCACTGTACACTGTGTCCGTAGTTGTGTGGTCAAATAAGCTGTGCGCCTTGATGAAATTGAAAATATAAACATCACATCTCCGGAGCAAAACTAAGAAAAAAAAGAACAAACTCGAAACAGCCAGGCAATTGTATGAGCGAATATTTTTTATGAACTGAACTGGTCATAGGCATATGTACAGATGTACGAATATAAAATGTATATATGTATACTTGTACACATAAATACCCAGATCCAGCGAAGTCGAGAGAACGCTCCACTGCGGCTCCATTATTTACTCGTTTATATATAGTGTGTGTGCTTTGTTTATTTGCCAGTTTCCTCGACGAAAACGAAATTAACCAAGCAACGCACAAATAGCAAACAAAAAATTTAAAACACACACAAAGTAATTAAAGTCTGCCCAGGGAATGGGAGTCGGAGACGAGTTCTTCCCGGGATCCCGAACTGTGTCTGTGAATGAACTCTTATCGGGGTCCCAGTTTGAAATTATGAAATAAAACTCATATATGTATATTTTTAGGCCCGGCGTTGAGCATGATTTCATGTTTTGGTGCCTAGAAAATGTGCTTGGATTGACTACTGGTGGCTTATCTCTTTGGGTAATAGTAGCACAGTTTTTGAGTTCTGATACCCTCCGGAATCCTCCCTGATAAGAGTCACACACAGAAGCCGCCAGTTTGGCTTTAGACATAAGATTTTTTATTCACATGTCATCTTTGAATACTCTTTGGGTTAAAAGGGATTATTCTATGTTTCTAGTAAAAATATAATTATTATTAACTTTTAAATTGATGGGAAATTCAATTTAAAAGGTTTTGAAAATGTATTTTATTTAATATTTTCTAAAGAAGTCTTATAGAAGTAAAGGGTTCGATAGCAATGATCATAAAAAACATAAATATCAAAAGAAATTCTATAAATCAGAGCTCTTTTTATCATCATATAATATAATCATATTCCTAGGTCTCTTTATTAATTCTCATATACTAAAGCACTATTAGTTTATATATTTTAAAAACAAATTACAAACAAATGCCCAGAGGTTTCTCTTTGAAAGTTAAAACTAAAAAACGAACTGATAAACACAGCTCTCCAACGCACCAGGCAACAACGGATTAAGGCATCCCAGCACTGGGCATTATCGCACTATATAGTATGGTATGGTATGGTAGCATATGTGGGCAGTCCGTCCCCACAAATGATAGTAGGATCCATTCAGTTTCAGTTCAAGATTCGGTCTGCGGCCTCAGTTGGTGCGTAAGATTCGTGGGGCGCGGATGCCTCGTATTCTTTATTATTGGTACGAGACGACGAAAATAAATAAGAAAATCTAGAAAATTAGAGCATCTCTCGGATTGTTGATAAGCAGAGCGGTTCAAAAGTGGGGGCAACGCAATGTAGTGGAGTTTGTTTAGTGACTAAAATATATATTGAAAACGAAATAAACTTATAACTAACGTATAAAGAAATAATAACTTATAAAGAAATAACTAACTTATAAAGAAAATATTGTATTTAATTTTTGCAGCTGCGGGATTTATGAAAAATAACTATCAGCATGAATGAATAAACATCGTGAAGTAAGAAGGATAAGGACGACGAAGAGCTGTTGGTTAAGTAAGTTAAATAGACTAAAATTTGGTAAAGATTTTAAAGCAACTTATTGAAAAGTAATTATTTTATTTAAAATACGATTAACAATTTTATAGAATATTATTTTGTAATATTTATTTTAGAAGAAAAGAAGTAAATATTTCTTTAATTAGTATTTCTTCATATACTTCATATATATAAAACTTGTAAAGTGCATACAGAATCAATGAGTTTCATTTTTATTTTTACGAATTTATTATTTTACAAAATATTTCTGAATTAACACTACAAGTCCCTACTGAATTATGATCTACTTTAACATTTTCTTCTTTATGAAACTTTACAGAATTTCAGAAGGAGGATCACGTGGACTGTAAGAGCTAGAGAGAGAGTAGAGGGTTCCCTCAACGAAACGAAAAGAAAAGCAAAGCATCGAACTGATTAAAGTCGCGGCCGGAAGTCAGTCCCAGAGTGGAACACGACCCCATCAATAACCCAAGAGAGAGGGGCAACGAGAGCGACCGCGACTGAGAGCCATCGAGATGTTGGAGCTGCGGCTTATCGCCGTGGTTTTTGTGCTCGGCCTGCTCGGCAGCGAGTGGACCCAGCCAGTGGCGTCGCAGCGAGCCCCTCAGCAGCAGCAGCAGCAGCATGGCCGCCGGGACAGGCCCAGGAATCCGCCCAGGCAGTACATCAAGACGCATCCCTGCGAGCGATCCTCATGCTATCCAGCCACGGGTAA